TTTGTTTGTTCTTTTTTAAAAGGGAGATAGAAGTTTACTGAACACACCACAAGGAAGCGGCAGGCAGGACAGCAGAGGAGAGGCTGTCTGCAAGGAGGCAGTGGGTGGGGGCTGTGTTTAAAGTGGAAAGGTGGTGTGCCTGGATGGCTCCATTGGTTAAGCATCTGACTCTTTTTTTTTTTTTTTTTTAAGATTTTATCCACCTATTTATGAGAGACACACAGAGAGAGGCAGAGACACAGGCAGAGGGAGAAGCAGGCCCCATGCAGGGAGCCTGACGTGGGACTTGATCCCAGGTCTCCACTTTGGCCCTGGGCCAAAGGTGGCACTAAACCGCTGGGCCATCGGGGCTGCCCAACATCTGACTCTTGGTTTCGGCTCAGGTCATGGTTTCAGGGTTGTCGGATAGAGCCCCACATCAGGCTCTGTGCTCAGGGCGGAGTCTGCTTCAGATTCTCTTTCTCTCTCTGTCATTGTCTCTCAAATAAACAAAACTTAAAAAAAAAAACAATATAAAGTGGAAAGGTGAGGAGGTGTGAGAAAATATGGAATTTCCCTTTTTTTGGTGACTGTGCCTGGTTGTAAGGAGCCCATTGGTCAGTTAGGGCCTATGGATATTTTGAGGAACATCGCCTGATGGGCCTGTCTGCATTCAGCCAGGGTGTCACTGTGAGCCCCTTTCTACATTCCATCTCTCAAGCCTGTTTGCCTAAGAGCGGCCTCTACATTCCCCCTGACAGATAGACAATGACAAATCTTTGGCTTTTGGCTGTAGGTCTTAACTTTGGTAGCTTCTTCTTGCTGTAATGAGGGGCGTAGAGATGTCCCCACCTTCACTGGCTGGTCTAGCAGGGGGTTCTGTGCAGTTACAGACCAGAACGTGGTATTAGAGTTACGTGCTAATAGGTGGTTTGAGTGAAACTCCTTGGTGGCCAGGGCCATGGGGCTTGGGGGAGGGGACCCTCTGATGGAATGGGCTGGGATCCCTTTTGCGCCATCACTCCGTAGATGGAATTGCTGGATTCACTCAGGACACGTAGGAACGTGTTTGCCCATAGATCCAGCTGGAGACTCTGATCTAATAGGTCTGAGACAGGGCCCCAGAATCTCCACGTAAGACACTTCCTGCAGGAGTGTGATGCAGGAGCCCGAGCATCCTAAGGCCCTTTAGTGCACCATTGGCTCCACCTTCTGAAGCAGTTGGGCAAAATAATTGCAGTGAGGCATGGCAATAAAAACCTGTGTCATCTGTGCCGAGTGAATCACTCACGAGGTACTTTCCCACCTCCTTCTCCTTTTAATCTTTGTCTCTTTAACTACTGTCTTGGGAGGGATCATCATCCTTAATTCTACAGACAGCTGAGGCTCTCAGGCAAAGGGTGACTTGCCCAAGATCCCCCAGCTACAAAACAGCAGAGCTCAGATTGGAGCTGGGGCCTATCTAGGGTGGGGGTGGGGGTGGGGGCGGGGGCGGGGGCGGCAGTCTATGACAAAGCCTCCGGGTTTACAGGTTGCTGTTTGTTAAAAACCAAAATTCCAAAATTCAGGACCTACACTGAGGGTGGTGATTCTAGCCCCATGGAGGAAGCTCAGGTCATTGTCGGGAGATCAGGTCTTTATCACCCCTTCTCCCTGTCCATCCATGTCCTCCAGGGCCCAGGACACGTCCCAACTCATACCAAGCCACAGCCATCTCGAGGGCACTTACATCCACAGTCGGGGATCGTGCCAGGCTCTGCAGGAGATGCTGGTAACCTCCCTTCTTGCACTTTGTAAATACTGTGTTTTTCACAAATTGAAACTCTGTGGCAACCCTGCGCTGAGCAAATCTGCTGTGCCGTTTTTCCGACAGCATTTGCTCCCTTTGCCTCCCAGTTTCACATTTTGGTCACTCTCACGATATTTCAAAAATTTTTATTATATTTGTGATGGTGATCTGTGATCAATGATTACAATCAATGATGACTCGCTGAAAGCCCAGATAATAGTTAACATTTTCTTTTAGCAATAAAGTATTTTTTAATTAAAGTATATGTTTTGCCTTTTTAGATGTATGCTCTTTTTTAAAAAAAATATTTTATTTATTTATTCATGAGAGATAGAGTGGCAGAGACACAGGCTCCATGCAGGGAACCCGACGTGGGACTCGATCCCGGGTCTCCAGGATCACTGGGCTGAAGGTGGCACTAAACCACTGAGCCACCCAGGCTGCACTAGATGTATGCTCTTGCCCACTTAATAAACTGCAGGTCGGTGGAAACATAACTTTTATCTGCACTAGGAAATCAAAAAGTTCATCTGATCTCTTTTCTGCCTCATCCTCCCCATCTTCCAGGCCTGGTTCTGACCCACCTTTTCCAGGCAGCCTTACCAGACAGTCTCTCCTCACAAATCTTACCCCTTTTTGTAAGTTCCAGAAAGTTATTTGGATCATTCATTTGGTCATGAATTATGTATGGCCTTCTGAAATCCCTTTGTGGCTTCCCTGAGCCAACTCTGAGTTGATTAACTTATACATGCTTGTACATTGTCCGAGGAGGATTTCTCTCCTTCGAAACTGGGGCTTATGGGGCGCCAGGGTGGCTCAGCAGTTGAGCGTCTGCCTCAGCCCAGGGCGTGATCCTGGAGTCCCGGGATCAAGTCCCACGTCGGGCTCCCTGCATGGAGCCTGCTTCCCTCTACCTATGTCTGCCGCTCTCTCTCTGTATCTCTCATGAATAAATAAATAAAATATTTTTAAAAAACTTTAAAAAAGAAAAGGCAGTGGGAAGGCCCCGGACTAGCTTGGCACTAAGGCATTCAGGGCTAACACATTAAAGTAGACAAATACTTTCTTGCAGGAATGAATGGATAAACCTTGGGGCACCTGGGTGGCTCAGTTGTTGAGTGTCTGCCTTCGGCTCAGGGCATGATCCCGGGGTTCCAGGATTGAGTCCCACATAGGGCTCCCTGCATGGAGCCTGCTGCTCCCTCTGCCTGTGTCTCTGCCCCTCTCTCTGTGTGTCTCTCATGAATAAATAAATAAAATCTTAAAAAAAAACCTGGGGCTTAGGGCTCATATCTTGACAAACTCTAAACTGCTTCTCCTTAAGTTCCCTTTCCGTATGAACTTTATAATCCATGGCACCTTCCAGGGGATGCCAGGAAGCCATCAATGAATGGGTGGTGTCACTGTGACAAACAAGGAAAGACAATTGGATTGTTTGGTAATGCCTATTAGTGGGAAAATATTACAAACCACTTCATCAGTGGAGGGCGTCTCCTGGGTCAACTCCTGGGTCTCCCTAGTAGCAGGGAAACCTGTCCCAGCCAATTAAGGGGGTGAGGTTGGGACCATGAATTTGAGGGGAAATAAAGGTCAAATAACTTGTTCTCTCACCAGAGTAAGCACTTCTTATCTTTCCAGGCAGAAAGTCCCTCCCGAGGTGGGGGGCAGATCTTATTCTCTGTACAAGCAGGCCCCGGAGACATGGGGCTTGGCTCCAGAACACCGCAATAAAGCAAATGTCCCAATCAGGCAGGTCAGATGGACCTCTTCTTCTTGACCTTCACAAGTACCTGTTGGGAGGATCATTTTCCCCTGGTCTATGGATTTCTGAAGCTCAGAGCCAGGCAGTGACTTACCCAAGATCACCCAGTTATAAAATGGCAGAACATGGGCTTGAGCTAAGACTCATGGGGAGGAGTCACAGTTCCTGTTAAAGTGTCTGGCTTTGGAGGCTGGTGCCGCTTTTCTTTCTTTCTTTCTTTCTTTCTTTCTTTCTTTCTTTCTTTCTTTCTTTCTTCTTCTCCTTCTCCTTCTTCTTCTTCTTCTTCTTCTTCTCCTAGATTTATTTATTTTGAGAGAGAGAGAGAGAGAGAACAACAGAGCACATGTGGGAGGGGAAGGGTCAGAAGGAGAGAGAGAATCTCAAGCAGACTTTGAGTTGAGCAAGGAGCCAGAGGTGGGGCTCTATCCCATGACCCTGAGATCATGACCTGAGTGGAAATCAAGAATCAGATGCTTAGCCAACTGAGACATCCAAGTGCCCCAGTTGCTGCTTTTTAAAATTAAAATCCTGGCCTGAACAGGGTTTGGAAGTTCCAGCCCTAGCTCTGCCACTGTGAGACGAGAGGAAGCTGCTTCTCTGCGCCTGTTTCCTTACCTGCACAATGTGGCTGACAACCCATGTCCTCCTCTCACAGGGTCATGGTGAACTCTGAAGCCCTGTGAGTCACCTGAGCTGCAGAGCAGTGGGTACATGGAAAGGTCCCCGCTACTGTGGCATTCTGCACATTTACCGAGACTCCGATGGGCTTCCTAAAGAGGGGGTGCGGGGTGGGGTGGGGCTCCCCCGGGATGGTGGGATATGTGGATAATCATCCTTCTGTAGCTCTCCTTCCTCCGCTGCCCCTGGAAGGAAGCTGTGATCCTCCGTGGGCCTCAGGGGGGCTGCTCCTCAGGACTAAAGACAGAGATGAGGTGTGAGGAGTCTCACCAAATACCATAGAAAGCATCCGCCTCAGTGCTCTTTGTTTGTATATGGCGAAAGGGGGCACATAAAGGCAACGGCAGGTAACTTGCCCAATCTGTTAACAGAGCCACTGAATGCAAGTGTGCAGGCGTTAAAGGGGCGCTGCACTAGGTGGCAGGAGTCTCAGGGTCAAGATCTTGACCTTATACCAACTGTGGGCGGCTCTGGACAAAATCTCTTCTCTTTTTTGGCAGTTTCCTGGTCGCAGACTGAGAGTAGCCTCGAAGGGTCCTTCCAGTTCGGAGGCTGACATCCCAGTAGAGGAGACTCAGCACCCTAGGCCAAGCTGCTGAAAACATGAAAAGGTTTGCATTCCACTGAACTTCGCCGGAAGCCTCCGCGCACAAGGATGCTTCCGTTGCCACGGCAACCGCTCGGCCGGCGTGGTCCCCGGCGTCCCGCGGAGGAAGCTGGGAAGAGCGCTGCCCTCACCAAGATGGCGGCGGCCACGGGGCAGAGGGCGGGGTTGAGCGTCGTCGGCCCTTCCAGACCTTTCCTCTGTTTCCGCTTTCTCGTGCTAACGGCGAGCTTCCGTCAATACTTAGGCTCTTTTCTGGTTCTGGGAGAGCCCGGAGCCAGGGAGGGAGGGTTGTCTGCCAGAACTGGGTCCAATACCCGGGTGGTCAGGTAGGCGGGACTTCCGCGTAAAAGAGGAAGTGACGCGACAGTCGCGGCCGCCGACAGGTGGAACGGCAGGTGGCTTCAGGTGCCAGCCTGGCCTGGACCCGGCTGTGGGACCGACGCTTCCGGTGAGCGACAGAGGTAGCTCCCAAGGGCCTGGAGATCCGTGGGGCGAGCTCTGGGGTGTGAGCTCACCGCCCTGGCCTGGAACTCCCCCCTCTACCTAGTAAGAATCCCGTACCTTCCCGCCCCCCAACCTCGGGGACTACCCCCACCGTCCAGAGGGACAGGGGAGGGTCCGGCTTCCCCCGTATCCCCCGGGTGGAGGTTGACATCTAGGCACTTCGGGTCCCTGAACCCTACGCTCTTTTCTCTCCCTGGTCCAGTTCCCCATTCCCCTGCCGAGCTGGGCAGTCAGCCAGCCCACCTCAACTCTCGGAACCATGTTTGCAGACTTGGATTATGACATCGAGGAGGATAAACTGTGAGTATTTTGTTCCTTCCAAGTCCCAGGAATGCACGAGCCCCGGGGCCTCCAGATCCCCAGACTTCCCAGCTCCACAGACCCTTGCTTCTCAGTGGGGGTTAAGTAGGTCTTGTTCTATAGTAGAAATGGACCCTGCCCTTCCAGGAGCTCACCATCTGTAGGGGGCTGCGGACACCCTAGCAGATGACAAGTCAGGGCCACGTGGTACTAATGGAGAATGGCCTGGCTACAAGGAGAGAGCAGAGGAGCAGTCTCTTTTTTTTATTTTATTTTATTTTATTTTATTTTATTTTATTTTATTTATTTATTTATTTATTTATTTATTCATTCATTCATTCATTCATTCATTTATTTATTTATTTATGATAGTCACACAGAGAGAGAGAGGGGGGCAGAGACACAGGCAGAGGGAGAAGCAGGCTCCATGCACCGGGAGCCCGACGTGGGATTCGATCCTGGGTCTCCAGGATCGTGCCCTGGGCCAAAGGCAGGCGCTAAACGGCTGCGCCACCCAGGGATCCCGAGGAGCAGTCTCTTGGTTGGGGTGTTCAGGGAAGGCTTCAAAAAGGAGGTGGCAGTGGAGCCAGGGTTTGAAGGTGAATAGGAGTATTGTAAACATACTTTCCTTCCCAGTATAGATAATTAGTAGGGCAGATTTTCAGAAATTGTTAGTCTCTCAACTAAAATCTGCCTGCATCCTCAGCACTTAGTATGGTGCTCGACTCACCATCAGTAGGTTGCTGGTTTGTTGAATGAATAAGTGAATGAAGGCAAATATTTACCGCAGAACATAAACAAGTGCTGGTTTATACTGAAAATTGAGAGGTAATTGAGCAGAGCAACTGATGGGTGATGGATAATTTAAGAGGAGAAGGCTTCCTGGAGCAGGTGGCCATAATGTTCCACCTGTGCCTGAGAAGGTGAGAAGGACAGAGTCTGGATCAGGCCTCAGAGGCAGGATGAAGGAGAGGGAAGGGGGAATCTGTTTTCATGGAGTGCCTGCTCTGGGCTGGGCTGGTGTTAAGTGCCTTTCGTGTGCTTTCTTATAAGAATTTTCATCAAGTAGCAAGCCATTTCCATCCATACCATTTTATGGCTGAGAGAACTTGATGCACAGAGGTGACTTACTTATCCAAGTTCTGTATATGGTCAGTGGCAGAGCTGGGATCTGATCCTGCATCTGCAGGACTCCTAAGCGCTGCACATGTGCCAGCGCCAGACACTGTCTTTTTGGCCAATTGAGAAAAGAAAAAGCTGAGCAGCGCTTGGAGCCTCTCAGGGGCTTCCTTCCTCGTCCCCTTTAAGGAATCCTCCCAGGAGATTCGGCCACATGTGCTTCTCTTTCTAGTGGAATCCCTACTGTGCCTGGGAAGGTGACCCTACAGAAGGATGCTCAGAACCTGATCGGGATCAGCATCGGAGGAGGGGCCCAGTACTGCCCCTGCCTCTATATTGTCCAGGTACTGGGTGCTTTGGAGGTGGGGGTAAGGTCCTAGAAGGGGTGAGCCACCTCCCTCCCCTGGGGCAGGCTTATTTTCCTGACTGCGGAGCTGAGGCCTGAACTCCTCAGAGAGGCCTTCCCGAGCATGCCCCTCAGTAGATGCACCCTGTTCTCTGTTGTATCAATGTGCTCCTTCCCTTCTCAGCTCCGCTCACCATCTGTAATCATGGGTTTGCCCATTCGTTGTCCTCTATCTCACTGCTAGCCAGGCACCACACTGTGAGGACAGGATCTCAGCCTGCTTTTTCACTGCTGTCAGCACCAAGTACAACATGTGTCATAGGGTCAAATGCACAAAACTGTCAGCCCTGGGGTACTGGTGCAAGTGGAATGTGAATTTTAGTGGAAAGTCTGCAAGTCCATGGGATGCTAGTGGCCTGGTGAACCCAAATGTAAGCCTCCCTGCTCAGCAGCGAGTTACTTGGTAAGCTCTCTGGGTCTCAGCTTCCTCATCTGGCAAGTGAGAGTGTAAAATGTGTAGGTCACTGTGAAGATTAACCAGAATGCCCCAAACATTGCCCGGCATTTAATAAATACGAAGTAGAAGATGTTGTTTTGTACCTAGCAGTTGTTCATGTCCCCGAGACACTCTGCCAGTGAACATTTTTGTGGTTCTTGTAGATGAAGCTGCTTTGGTGACATTCTATCAGCTGTGACTCTGAGCAGTGGGGACAGTTTACTTTGTGACGGGTCAGTCACTGGTTTTTCTGTAGGCTCCGAAGGAAGCTTGCCACAGACATAAATGTGACCTGCCTTCTACTCTGTTCCCCTTTCTCAGCTCAGTAGCCATTGGTGGCAGATGGGAAACTGCTGTCTCTCTGAGAATCTTGCAAAAGAGTCACTTTTGGGCCTTGAGGACAGAGATTCCCGGGATGTAGCCTGGTCTACTCTGGGTGCTGCCTTCACGAGCTTTTGGCCTCCTCTGACCCAGGAGGTATTAGGGAGGCCTTGCCTAGGCCTGGCCCCCCTGCTACATGCCTGCTTGGTCCCTGCCACCTCCCCCTTCTCACCCATTGGGGGCTGGGTTTGTGTAGAACAAACTGCGATTATAAAATAATAGAATTTGGTTTTTAAAAATTGAATTCTTTTTTATCAAAGCGTATCTGACTTGCTCTGAACAAGTCGAGAGTACTAGAACGACTGTGTCAAATAAAAGCACCCACTGTTGCATGCCTCCCTTTTTAAAGATTTATTTATTTGACAGGGGGAGAGGCAGAGGGTTATTTTAGATGCGTAATCTGGTTACTATATAGGTTGTTTTTTTCTGGACATTTTATATAAAAAGAATCTGACATGTCACCTTTGGGGTCTGGATTCTTTTACTGAGCATAATGTTTTTGAATTTCATTCCAGTGTTGGCATATTTTTTTTATGGCTGACGAATATTCCATTTTTGTGGATGTACCGCAATTGTTCATCCATTCATTTGAAGGACATTTGGCTGTTATGAAGAATGCTGCTGTAAACATGCATGCGCATGTTCTGAGTGTACACATGCTTTCATTTTTAGCGAGTTTGTACCTGAGAGTGGGAGCAGGGTGCCAGCTCATATGGTATCTCTGTGGTTAACTTTCTGAGGAGCCTCTGGTCTCTTTTCTTAACTCAGTCTTTTCTTTTTTGAACAGGTTTCTCGGGTTTCTTCCATTTGCATTCTCTTTCAACGTTCACTACCTTTCTTCAGGCAGCCGTTTGCCCTCATCTTTCTGGAGTCTGTACCACTGTGCCTCCCCTTCCCTCTCGGGGGGGCTCCCCTACTTCCAGGAGCCCTCTTTCTTTCCTTCTTTCAAGTCTTTAATTTGATGCCAGTTAGTTAACATATGGTTAACTACATAACATGTTGTTAACTACACTAACATCCAGTTAGTATAATTGATGTTAGTGTCAGGTGTGTATCCTAGTGATCCAACACCTCCTCACATCACCTGGTGCTCATCACTGACAAGTGCCATCCTGAATTTCCATCACCTGTTTCCCCCTTCCCCTCTGGTGACTGTCAGTTTGTTCTCTAAAGTTTTTGTTTGTTTATTTAAAGGTTTATTTATTCATTTGAGAGAGAAAGAGGGGGAAAGCATGGGGGAAGGGGCAGAGAGGGAGAGAGGGAATCTCAAACAGACTCCCCGCTGAGGGTGGAGCCCGATGTGGGGCTCGATCTCACAACCTTGCAATTGTGACCTGAGCTGAAATCAAGTTGGATGTTTAACGACTGAGCCCCCCACAGGTGTCCCTGTTCTCTCTAGTTAAGTCTGTTTCTTGGTTTGTGTGTGTCTCTGTTTTTCCCTTTACCCATTTGTTTTTTCAATGCCACAAATGGCTGAAATCATATGGTCTTTTTCTTATAGACTTATCTTGCTTAGCATTATACTGTCTAGATTCATCTGTATCTTTGCAAATGGCAAGATTTCATTCTCTTTTGTGGTCGAATAACATTCCGTTGTATATATAAACCACATCTTTTTTTTTTTTTTAATTTATTATTTGAGAGAGAGAGAAAGAAAGAGAGAGCATGTGCACACACACATGGGCAGGGGGATAGGGGCAGAGGGAGAGGGAGAAAATCTCAGACTCTCCACTGAGCACAGAGCCCCATGCAGGGCTGGATCTCACCATCCTGAGATCATGACCTGAGCTGAAACGAAGAGTCAGGCTTTTAACCGACTGAGCCACTGAGGTGTCCCATCCCATATCTTCTTTATCCACTTAGCATTGACAGTGTCTGAGTAAACCACATCTATATCCATTCATCAGTCAGTGTACACTTGGGCTGCTTCCATATATTGGCTCTTGTAAATAATGCCGCTATAAACTTAGGGGTGTACCTATCTCTTTGAATTAGCATTTTTATATTCTTTGGGTAAATACCCAGTAGTGCAATTGCTGGATTGTAGGGTAGCTCTATTTTTAACTTTCCGAGGAACCTCCATACTGTTTCCAGAGCGGCTGCACCAGTTTCCATTCCCACCAGTAGTGCCAGAGAATTCCTTTTTCTCCACATCCTCACCAACACTCTGTTTCTTGTGTTGTTGATTTTAGCCATTCTGACAGATGTGAGGTGATATCCTGTTGTGGTTTTAATTTGTATTTCCCTGATGATGAGTGATGATGAGCATTCTTTCCTGTGTCTATTGGCTGTCTGGATGTCTTCTTTGGAGAAATGTGTGTTCATGTCTTCTGCCAATTTTTTAATTGGATTATTTGGTTTTTGAGTGTTGAGTTTAATAAGTTCTTTATATATTTTGGATACTAGCCCTTTATGGGATATGTCATTTGCAAATATCTCCACCCATTCTGTGTAGGTTGCCTTTTAGTTTTGTGGACTGTTTCCTTTGTTGTGCAGGACAGGAGCTGTCTTTCTCGGCTTACTGCCTCATCAAGGTGGAGCACATCCCCCTGTAGCTTTCTGGAAAAGGCTGCATGGAGGTACATTTTTTGAGAGTTTGAGTCTCTGAAAATGCCCTTGTCCTGTCTTTGTTGTTATTCTCATATCCCTTCCAATTGACTTCGGCAAATCAAATTCAAGAATGACTCCCCCCCCCCCCAAAAAAAAGGCAAGTTTGAAAATAATTTTCACTTAGAAATGCAATGGCATCCTTTCATTATCTTTTGCCGTCAGCCCTGTTTTGTCTGATGGTGCTCTGATCAGTGACCCTTTATTTGTAATGTGTTTTATCCTTGATCTCTCAAGACTCTTGGGAGTTTCCTTTTGTTCTTGGCATCCTGCAGGGTCATGATGATGGCTCTTGGCACAGGCCCTTGTCTGTCTGTTGCGTTGGAGCTCAGAGGGCGCGTCCCTCCAGGAACCTCATATCTTTCTCTGCCCTGGAAGTTTCTAGTATTAGCTCGTTGATGGGATCTTGCTCTCTGGTTTCTGTTCCCTCTTGTGGGACTTCTGGGACTTCTGTTGGGCTTTCTGAATTGATCTTCTAATATTTTTCTTGTTTTCTGATTGTCCATGTCATTTTCATTTTCCTTGGCTTGGTTTCATAGCTTCTTTGACATTGTAAATTTCAGTTACATTTTGCATTTCGAAAAGATCTTTCCTTTTTTTTTTAGAATTTATTTATTTGAGAGAGTGCACGCTCATGTGTGCGCGTGCACACACACACACATACACACACAAGCAGAGGGGCACAGGGAAAGGGAGAAGCAAGGCTCTCTGCTGGGTACTGAGCCCAAGACAGGAGACACGGGGCTCTATCTCAGGATCCTGGGATCATGACCTGAGCCAAAGTCAGACAATTAACCGACTGAGCCATCCAGTCACCCCTCTTATTTTTGAATCGATCCTTTTACATCTTCCAGTTTTTTCTAATCACCTCGAAGACATTAATTATGGTTTTCTTTGTATCACCCCTGCTTTGTTTCTGCTTCCTGTGGTTCCCTTTTCCTGTGTAAGTATTTTTTATATGGGATCCTTTTCTTAAGTGCCCAGTAATCCTCGCCTTTCTTTATAGGATGAGTGAATCATCACAGTACTACTAGTGTTTTGAAGATCTGTGCACAGGCCATGTCCAGGGGACTTCCCTGTGGGGTGAACTGTGGGGGAATCTCCCAGTGTCTGCATAGACGGGCCTTTGTGTCAAGCTGTTGAGGACAGGGGCCTCCAGTGTCCTGTGGGGAAGGGCAGTAAGCCTGGCTGCTGGCATTTTGAGGCCCCACTGGGGTGAGGGGGCTTTGGAACTTGCTAAACCCAATCTCTCCAGTCCCCTGCCTCTCTCCTGCCTTCCTTGGTCCCTGGGCCTGAGTCCAGAGCTTCTCTGGGGAAACCACCTCCATCTTCCACAGAAAAGGGGTGATGATGGACAGCCCTGTGGATGGAGGAGCCCGGAGTTGAGTCCTTTCCCTACTTTCTGCACCTTGCTTTCCACCCACCGTGGCTGTCTCCAGAGGTCCACTTTCTAACCCACTGGCAATTTCCAGCAAGGATTAGATCTCTCTTACTAAAGTCCTTCCATAGGCCTTGGATTCCCACTGTCCATCTTCCAAGGACAGGTATAACCTCTCGTTGTCTCCTTTACCGTTTAAAAAAAAAAAAAAAAAATAAAATATATATATATATATATATATATATATATATATATATATATATTGGGGCACCTGGGTGGCTCCATCAGTTGAGCGTCCGACTCTTGATTTCAGCTCAGGTCATGATCTCAGGGTTATGAGATCAGGCTCCACTTTCAGCAGGGAGTCTGCTTCTCTCTCGCTTTCTCTCTCTCTCGGCCCCTCCGCCTGCTTGTGCATGTGCACATGCACACTCTCTCTCTCTGAAATAAGTAAGTCTTAAAAAAATAGTAATAATTGTTTTTTAGTGTAATTCTGGAAGGGTAACAGAAAGAAACTGTCATCTCAATTTCTTCTTTCCTCATGACATTATGTATATGAAAAGTTACCAGTTGTTCCTTTTGCGTACTTTATGTAGAAAATGTAGCAGCTGAAGATGAAGTAGAGAGAGGGCAGTGTCAGATGTTTGTCCTGGTGGCCATTTTCTGGCCATGATTTCTGTGTTCTTATCCATCTCTGCATATGCAGATGTGTCCTGCCTCCCCCTTGCCCTGAGCAGCGCTTGCACATGTGTGCTTGACAGGCACACCCAGCCTCACGCCTCAGTGAGTGTGGACCCTGTTGAAGGGGCCATGTTGGGAGGAGAGTCTCACGTGCACGGTGGAGTCCTTACTCTTTGGGGACTGAGATGAGGCACAGGAACTGACCAGAGGTTCTTTGGGGCTTCATGTCAGCCCAGGACAGCATTGGCGGAAAATCTATTAACTGAGTTTGGAGGAGCATACACTCAGTTGGGTGTGTGAGGTCTAGACCAAGGTAGGCTCAGTTGCGGTTCAGGGGATGACTGTTTCCCCCGCACTGCCCTCCCTTGCACCCACAGGTGTTTGACAACACCCCAGCAGCCCTGGACGGCACTGTGGCGGCTGGCGACGAGATCACCGGTGTCAATGGCAGGTCAATCAAAGGCAAAACTAAGGTGGAGGTGGCAAAGATGATTCAGGAGGTGAAGGTAAGGCTGCTGTGGTTAGGGGGGCAGGGAGACACAGGCAGCCAAGCCACTGCGATGGCACCCAGCCTGCCCCCTATAGGCCTGGAGGGGGACAGGCTCTCTCTCTGCTGCCCCCTCAGTACACCAGGGTCTGGGCCATACTCTGGCCTCCTTCATTGTCTCCCACATCTGGTCAATAAATACCACTCGTGCTCCAGGACCACTGTGCTGCCTTGGCAGGAGAGTGGGCACCATTCGGTTCCCTGTCCTTCAGCCCCCAGGGGAGCTGTTGGATTAGGAGGCATGCCTCAGGGTGATCCAGTGTGTCCCCACTCAGGGCTAGAACTGAAGCTGGAGGTCCAAGGTGAATGTACTGGGGTCAGTAGACACTCAGTAAATGTCGGTTGGGCCATACTGGGTCTGGGAGGGGTAGGGGGGAAGAGGAGCCCCCCCCCCATCTCTGTAAGAGTTCTCAGTCCACAGGGTCCTCCTGGGCTCACAGTCCCCCAGGGAAACTTCTGAGGCCTGGCGCAGCTCTGTCCAGCTGCCGGTCTTCTGTTCTGCAGACCACAATCACACACGGCCTATCTTTGACTCCCCACACCCCACCCCAGCTGCTATAGCTGAGGCCTCGCCCTGCAAGCCCCTGCCACCACCACAAATGGCAGGCAGTGTCCTGACCACTCATGGAAGCAACATGGAGCCCTTTTGCTATTTCTTAGAGTTTGGCTGCTAGTAAGTCTTGGGAAACCTAAACAGCAAAGGACGCACAAAGCCAGTAGATGATCTTGGAGTCCTAGAGTCAAGGGTCCCAACTGTAAATTGAGCTTGGCCGAGTATTCTAGCTCCCTCACCCCATCCTTTCAGACCTCTCCTCACCCCATGTCCATCCTCCATGTCTTAGGGACCTGGCACCAGCGTCCCTGCCAGTCCCTTTTACCTTAGCCTGGGGCCAGCCGCTTCTCCACCTTCTCCCCTTTGTTCTCCCGTTCCGCTCTACCGGGGCTGGATGTTCCTGTCCTGGTGTGGCACGTTGGGAAGCAGGTGGACAGTGTTTCATCCCGGTACAGACCTGGGAGGTGGGTGTCCCCTGTGGCCCCTTCCTCACACCTCACGTCTGTACCCATCATAGCGCCATCCTCTGAAGCCTGCCTCATGCCAGCTCTCTGTGTGCCCAGGAGGACGAGAGCGCTTCACTTGTGTGCACAGCCTGGACATTAATCCAGGGGTCTTCCAGCCCCCTTGTTTGGGTGGCGGGCAGGGCCTGCTGTCCCCGTTTACTGGCACCCAGAGGGAGAAGGGATTTGCTCAGGTCTGAGTCCTGCTGCCCTGGCTGCTGCCTGTTGGGGCCCCACAACACACTCTTGTGCAGCCTGAGAGAGGGAGCTTTTTGCCTCTGCCCCTCACTGTGACAGCGTCAGATCATTTTGGTTTCCTTTCAGGACTCATTTTTGAAATCCCATGTTGTATTTGAATGGATTCTGTCCCAAGTTAAGGGGTCTGAGGATTACATGGATGACAGTGACCGTGGTGGCCTCACGTGATCAGGGAAGGCTTCTCAGGAGAAGCCGGCACTTCTCTTCCAGTTGTAGAATGTGGTTTGCATTGGCTTCCTTGTTGGTGTGGGCCCTAGGGCTGGGGCTGCCCTGCACATGCTCCTTGGTGTCCCAGCACCAGGCACAGAGAAAGTGCATGGATGTGTTAGTTGAGTGAATGGGGCACCGCTGAGCATGGGTGATTAGAGCGCAGCGGATACTCCATGTGGGGCAAATTGTGAAGCGAGGGCTTGGAGCATGGCGTGGGGAAGGGTGGGGCCCCTGACCTCACTGGACCTCAGGACATCAGAGACCACCAGGCTGTGAGCTCTGTCTCTGCCCTTGTCCTTGCTGGTTCCCCAGGGCCTGGCACCTCGTGGGACAAGGAGGGACATGGGAACAAACCAGTTACAAAGCGGGGCCACATCACAGCCCTTGGTCCTGCATAGCCGAATTCATGGTTGGTCTGGGCCTTTCCCAGGGCTCAGGATGCTCTCATGACCACAGATTTCAGGGAAGACAGGCTTCCCCAAGGAAGAGGCTTGGGACCCAGGAGACTCTCTCTCAACTGTGCCTGTCCTTTTCCAGGGTGAGGTGACGATCCACTACAACAAGCTGCAGGCGGACCCCAAGCAGGGCATGTCCCTTGACATTGGTAAGCTGGGCCAGAGCAGTGGCACCCGGTGGCCCCACAAGCCCCTGGCCCTGTTCTGTGTCTTTATGACAGTGTTACATGGTTTTTGCCCAAACCAATGCAAAGGACCTGGGGTGCTCTCCTGCAGCTGCACCTAAGAAATCTGTCCCTGATTTCACTCTGTCCCATGTTGCAGTTCTCTCCCAAGGCCACCTGCCCTGGGACCTCCCTGCCCTAGGGTTGTCATGCCTAGGGCATGGTGCCTCAGGCCCACGCATGCCCCTACTTGGCCCTGGCCTCTTCTTCCACCTGCCTACTCCCAGGAAGGCTCAAGGTCTGAACTGGACCTCAGGCCTTGGGCAGAGGGTCCCAGGCCAGCCCTTCCTCCCACGGCATCCCCTAGGACAGGTTGCCTCCTGCTGAGGAGGGCTGGGCTTTGGTTCTGTAGAAGCTTCAGACTCTAGAGCTGGACACTGCAGCTTCGAGGTCCTCTGGACCAGTCACCTCATTCGACATAAAGGCATGAGCCCGGAGAGGGCTCCATGTCCCGTGGGTGATGCACACCCAGATCTCTCAGCTCTGGAGCCCAGCACACTTTTCCTCCCCCCTAGGGTCACAGTCACCTCCTGGTTTTTAGGGAGAGAGGCTAAGATCAGTCTGTCCCAGAGGTTCTCCCTTATAAGCCTCTTTGGTCCCTTCCAGGGACTCAGTACGCGACATGTATACGGTAACCGAGTCTGGGGGTCTGAGGTTACTGATGGCAGCTCTGCTTCCAGATAAGGGAGAAGAGGCTTTCCTGGTTCGCCTCTTGGCACTTTACATGCTTACCTCCTTCCAGTTCTCAGCACCGCCCTTGCAGAGAGGGAATAGGGCAGGGGACCTGGCACAACCCCATGGGGGCTCCCCCTGCTTCAGTCACCCCTGAACCAGAGCTCAGGGCAGCCCTCTGAGCCCCTGCTGTCACTCACCATGAGATGAGCTGGGGCAGGGATGCCTGAGGCCCCAGCTGCACACTCCCCATCACTGAGTCCCTTTTTCCCCTGCTCCCAGTGTTGAAGAAAGTAAAGCATCGGCTGGTAGAGAACATGAGTTCCGGGACTGCAGATGCCCTGGGCCTGAGCCGGGCCATCCTGTGCAATGGTGAGTCCTCTCCTGCCCAGCTGGCCCGGGGACGGGGTCGCAGGCCCAGGCTTCCAGAGGAAGGGGCACCATGGCCGCCCATGGACCCGACGTGGTTCCTGCTGCCCATGGGGCCACTTGTCACCAATCTGCATTCCCAGAGGTCTCTCTGCCTCCCAGAGAGCATCCACAGCAGTCAGCTAAGGCATCCTGCAGCCAGTGGCTCCCATGGTCAGGCCAGGATTCCATGCCCAGGTCACAGATGAGACAGATGCAGAGCGCAGAGGTGTCTCCTTTCAGCTCCAGCTCCCTGAGCTGATGCCTTCGCCATTCTCCTCAGCTGCTGTCACAGAGCCAGGGGCGGCCACCATGTGTCCTCTTGTCAAGTGTGGCCCCTGCTTTCTGCTCCTGCACTGCCCTCCTTGCCCCTGCCTTTCTCCAGGAGGTGGCGCTGCTGCCCCTGTCTCAGAGGTTCCTGGCCAGGACTGGAGGTGGGGGCAGGGGGAAAGCCAGGGCCACGCACACTCACACCCACGCACCCGTGTGGCCAGTAAAACACTTGGTCCTGCTCCCCACGGTCCCCAGGCCGAGTTTATAAATAGCAGTTGTGCTCTGCGTGTGTGGGGGTGGGTTTAAATGCCTGTATGTATTGTAGGCTCAGCTGGGCACACTGGGCTTCATTGGCTGGGACGTGGGGGTGGGGTCCGAGCGCGTTCCAAGCAGCGTACAAAAGTGGTGGCTGCTATTCTCAGCTTCTTGGTGTCTATAAATCCCTGTTACTGTAGTTACCATGCGTTGAGATGAAATTAGAACTGGTTGTTGTGTTTTTTCCCCCCAAACCTTGCAATTTCCCCAGCCTTAAATAGGGTTTCTAAAATTGAAGCTGTCATGATGTCCCATGACCCAGCTAAAAACAACAGCATGGCGCTTACGTGGCTCCTTTCCTGCCAGGCTGGCCAGGTGCCAGGGCTCTGGGGAGGTAGCGCCTGGGGGCCAGCCAGTGGCCAAGCTCCTGAAGACCTCTGAGATGCTCCACGCAGCCCCCCCCCCCCCCCCCCCCCCCCCCCCGCCACCAGAGCCCACTGAGCCCATTCCTCCTCCTATTGCTGCCACCTGACACACACCCACTGTCTCTGTCCAGACTCGGCTTCTACCTCCTTCCCCTCCTGCCCAGAAAACCCTGACCCAAGTCAACACAGGAGATGGGGTGGAGGTGGTTAGAGGGCACCTGCCTTGAGTAGTGCCTGGCTGTGTGCCTTGGGACACGACGTCCTTCCTTTTACACAGAAAATGGGAAAGTAATCCCTACCCCCAAAGGCTCATACGGAGGAAGGACTGAGCTATGGGCAAGGAGCCTTGGGCGATGGGTCCTGGCTCACAGCTCACCGGAGCTCAGTGAGGTTGGGCCCTGCCCTGAGGGGCCACCATGTGAGGAAGCCACTGGCACAGTCCCTGCCCCGCTCCTGATGGGGAGGTGGGAGGTCCCTCATCCCCTCACTGCTGGAGGGGCCCTCCCTCCCTGATCTGAAATGCCGGCCCCAGCAGTCCAGTTGCTCCCATTTTTGAGCCCTTGTGGCAAGGCAGCTGTGCCCACCTCTCCCCTGACAGCCCCCAGTGCCTGGCCACTGTCTCCTCTGCTGGACCATGAGCCTTGAGGGCATGACGTAGATAACATTTACTAAGGTCATTCTGTGGCCCTGACATGGGGTCCGGCACCCAAAAGGTGCTCAAAGAACCTCTGTTAAGTAGTGAATGTTGATCACCAAGGCCTGGTCCAGTGCCAGCTCTTCCTCCCCGAGCAATGCTCCCTTCTGAGCTGTCACATTTGCTTCTCCTGCGGAGGGGGCTGCGTCATGCCTGCATTGGGGTTGTCAAAACGACTCATCTCCCCGGCTTAGCTCTGCCTGCCTGCCTCCTTGGCTGTTGGCAGGGGTTGTGTTAGAAGTACGGAGGCCTTGACCACTGGGATGCGGCCTGCCTTTGGCTGGCCATCAGGAACTACCCACAGATTGGGCCTTGGGAGGACCCATCCTTTTTTCCTGATGACTTTTGGCAGTGCCTAAATGATCATCACCTTTCTGCCCATCTGCTGTACCCCAGCCTGCTGGGGTGGGGACTTAGGAGTGGCCCGAGGGCGGCCCTCCCTGTCCCCTGCTGGCCTTTGGTTTGGGTGTCCTGGGCTGCTATGGAACACTTTTGAGCCCAGTTGAGATCCCCCTCCCTGGGACCCCCGTTCTGTGCCAGTCCTTGTTCTCTTCTGGAAGCTGCCTCTCCTCCCAAGCCTGGCTTGGGCCACCCCGCTCTCTCCTCACCCCTGTGCTCGTATAGACTCACTGGACCCACCTTCTCTCTGATTCCCCCGCAGACGGGCTTGTCAAGAGGCTGGAGGAGCTGGAGCGGACTGCCGAGCTGTATAAAGGTGAGAGGCGGCGCCTTGGGTCCTGTCCAGGGGGTACCTGGCACTGGCTCTGCCCTGGGGTAGATCTTCACAGCCCTGCTCGGAAATGGTGGCAGTAGGGGCAGGAATGCTGGCCTATGAGATTCTAGGACTGTGGTCGTTAGGAATTCTTAGGAAGAAAGCCTCTTAAGACATACTTTTCCTGATTATGAGAGTAATACATATCCATAAAAATTCAAATAATAGCACATTTAAGCATGGTGGGAGCCTCTTGGAATCTGACTGTCTCCCAAAGATGCAGCGCCTAGGAAGCCCTGGTCACCTTCTGCCCCTGCCAGGTCCTGGGTCTGTTGTCTGATGGGGGCTCCTCTTGGGTGGCACTGGGGCCGCGGCTAAGCCCTCAACCCTGGGCCCCAGTGGGGCTGTGGGAACAGTGAGGACCTCTGGGTGGGGGTGGAGGCCATGTCCTGGGGGCCCTTGTGGTCCTGCCACGTGCCTCCATCCCCCTACAGTTGGCTGTCTCCTACAGGAATGACGGAACACACCAAGAACCTCCTCCGGGCCTTTTACGAACTGTCACAGACACACCGGGGTAAGGGTGCCCCCAAACCTGTGTGACCCTAGGAAAACCGTCGCTCCCCTCTGAGCTCAGGGCTGCCCCAGGCAGTGAGCGTGTGGCCGATCCCCTCCCAGGGCCCTTCTTCACCAGGCTCAGGCAGACACCGCAGGATCTGACCTCATGCCAGGTTCGGGCTGGGCCTTGTCCAGATGCTGGGAGGTGGGGCCAGCAGGGAACATCTGGACCAGCTGGTGTGTGGGGTCCAGTGTAACCCGTTCTGCCCCTTAAAACGTGGAGAGGCTTCCTTATTTGTGGTCTCATTTTCTACGAGTCTGCCGGCTGGGCCAGGAAGCTAGAGTTAACCCCACTTTGCAGTGGGGAAAATGATCCCAGACCGAGGAAATGTGCACACCACTCCTGCCGGCAGTGCTGGCCTTAGACCCAGCCTCCACATCCCTGTGCTCTGCTGACAGGCAACAGCAGCCTCTCCAACCTAGACTGAGCCTTCTTCTTCCCCCGTGGTCTGATCACTCTGGGGAATGAGGGCCGCTCTCTTGGGTGTAGACCCGGCGCTCTTGGGTGTAGACCCACCTCCCTGGGGACATAGACTTCATACAGGCCTTCACCTTCAGCCTGCTATGCCCCTTGCCCCACTTCTCCCCAGCGAATCCCCGGCTTCTCCATGAAGGGGTCAGGTAGGGACAGTCTTCAGGGCAGACTTATCCTGCAGCCTTTGGGGACGTGTTCTCTGTGATTGGGGTGCGGGAGCCCCAGCCAGCCGCGAGTGAGGCTTTTGTGAAGTTTGCTGACGCCCACCGCAGCATCGAGAAGTTCGGCATCCGGCTGCTGAAAACCATCAAGCCGGTAGGTGGTGTCGGGCATGTGTGCATCAGCATGTGAGGGTAGAGAGGGGACAGTGTGGCATGCAGAAAGTGTCCTGTACTGGAGTCAGAACACGTAGGTGCAGGTTCTAGCATGGTCACCTGCACGACTGACTGTGGTAAGTCATTCTGCCTCCCTGGCCTCACTCAGCATTGACCCCCAGGCTGGTTTCTTCTGCCCCTGGCTCCGTCTTAGTTATAGTTTACCCTTGGCCCAGCCTGTCTTCTCACCCTTGAATGGACCGACTTGTCTGTCACTCTTTGACTTTGACACCTGAGTCCACTAGAAGGATTGATGGGTCGGTGCCGTTCTTTGTCACGCCAGCCAGCCCAGCCCCTGCCCCCTGGGACTAGGTGTCTGCCTCCACTTTCCCTTCCAGATGCTGACAGACCTGAATACGTACCTCAACAAAGCCATCCCAGACACTCGCCTCACCATCAAGAAGTACCTGGATGTGAAGTTTGAGTACCTGGTGAGTGGTCCCCAGCCCCCAGGGAGGGGTGAGTCTGGGTGAGTGGTCCCCGGTCCTCAGAGAGGGGTAAGTCTGGGTGAGTGGTCCTCAGCCCCCAGGGAGGGATGAGTCTGAGTGAGTGGTCCCCAGCCCTCAGGGATGGATGAATCTGGGTGAGTGGTCCCCACCCCCCAGGGAGGGATGAGTCTGAGTGAGTGGTCCCCAGCCCTCAGGGACGGATGAATCTGGGTGAGTGGTCCCCAGCTCCCAGGGAGGGATGAATCTGGGTGAGCGGTCCCTAGCCCCCAGGGAGGGATGAGTCTGGGTGAGTGGTCCCCAGCCCCCAGGGAGGGATGAATCTGGGTGAGTGGTCCCTCGCCCCTGGGGACGGATGAGTTTGGGTGAGTGGTCCCCAGCCCTGTGGGGCGGGGGGGTGAGTCTGGGTGAGTGGTCCCCAGCCCCCGGGGACGGATGAGTCTGGGTGAGTGGTCCCCAGCCCTCAGGGAGGGGTGAGTCTGGGTGAGTGGTCCCCAGCCCCCGGGAGGGATGAATCTGGCATGCTAGAGAGAGAACCCACAGGAAGGGGCCAGAACTTTTGTCATGTCTGATTGAGGACGTGAGCCCAGGGACCTGGGAGGTACTGGGAATTGGACAACAGCCCAGACCCTGCCCACTCAGGGAGCTTTTGGGTGCCCAGGGTAGGCAGAGTGCTTACTCTGGGCCACTTTGACCCCTTGAGATTATTTGGTCACTTTTACAGTGGGTTATAAAGTGGGTGCCAAGGGACATGATCGAGTTGGGTTTTTGTTTTGTTTTTTAAGATTTTATGTATTTATTTAGAGAGTATGTAAGTAGGAAGAGGGGCTGAGGGAGAGAATCTCAAGTAGACTCCATGCTGAGTGTGGAGCCTGATGCAGGACTGAGCTCAGGAACCTGAGATCATGACCTGAGCTGAAATCAAGAGTCAGACACCCAACGGACTGAGCCACCAGGGACTCCTGGACATTATTGAGTTTTATGTTTAAGTAAAAATTCTGATGGTCAAAGGAGTTGAGGGAAGATGCTCCACCAAGCAAGCTGAGGCTCCTTTGCTGCAGGACTTCCCAAAGCCTTTGGCATCCCTGTGTGCACCATAAATCCTCAGCGACCTTCCCACGCTCTTTTGACCATGGAATCCCTTTTTCCCCAGACCATCTCTCCTAACTTGAGTTTGGGAAATGCTGGGCTGTTTCTTAGGCCCTTGCCACCCTCCCACATGAGAGGCAAGTGTCAGCCTATCCTAGTTGAGGGCAGGCAGGGCCCAGGAGGCCTGGCATGGCTGCGGGGTACTGTGTGGGGTGGAAGTGTGACATTAGGGTGGGCATCCAGGAGGTGGAGCCCCTCTGACACCGTGACCTCGCTGTCCCATACAGTCCTACTGCCTGAAGGTGAAGGAAATGGATGACGAGGAGTACAGCTGCATCGTGAGTTTTCAGTGGTGATTGGGGGGTGGCCCCGGTGCTGGAAGGTCTTGGAGTGTATGGACCTTCCCCTGCTTGTCTCACAGTGGCCCAAGAGTGTCCTGGTCTGCCAGGGGCACTGGGTGGCTCAGGCTGACCTGGGAGAGGCTAGAGGGGTCTGGCTGGGCTCTTGTTTCTGGAGGTGGGAGGCTATCTACCTGGGCTTCAGAGCGCTGGCCGGCTTGCTGTGGGGCCACTCCCCAGCCTTCGTGAGGCTCTTGTGGGAAAAAGCTGACTTTACTCACTCCTAAGAGGAAATGTTCAATATTTTTGATGTCATGATCCACCTTAGCACTAAATTGTCAAGGGTTTGTTTTTTTTTGTTTTTCACAAAGCTATTACTAAGTGTTCTGGCAATCACTGGTGTCTTGGAAGTGAGGAACCATGGGAGCTTTGAAAAATGCTATGTGGTGCAGGAGTGTGAACTGGTGGGTGGGCTCTGCAGCCTCCCTGCCCTGTATGTCCACCCACCCCCACTGGGTTGCTGATGTGCTCCTCCCTGCCCCAGGCCCTGGGGGAGCCCCTGTACCGCGTGAGCACTGGCAACTATGAGTATCGCCTGATCCTGCGCTGTCGCCAGGAGGCCCGTGCCCGCTTCTCCCAGATGCGCAAGGATGTGCTGGAGAAGATGGAGTTGCTGGACCAGAAGCATGGTGAGGGGAGTAGGTGGGCACTGGGGGCTGGAGAGGCATGCCCAACGCCAGCCCTACACAATCCTTGGGTTTGGGGGATGTGTACCATCTTCTCCCCATTTCAGAGCTGGGAAAACCGTGGCCCAGAGAGGTAAGGTCCTTAGGTGGGGTCCCACAGCCCCACCATAGCAGACCTTTGGGGCTGACCCAAGGTGGAAAGCCTTGGCAGGAGCGCATCCCCCTTCCTGGGGTCTGGCTTGGGTGGACCTGGTCCTTGCTATGGGGTGCAATGGGGTGCAGTCCCCAATCTACCCACCGTGGCAGGGCTCCTCTCTCTGACTTGGGAACTGGGAATCATGGGTGTGCACAGGCCTGGGCTGCCCTGGCCTTGCCTGCACCCAGGGCATACGGGCTCGGCGAGGTGCAAGAGGGCCTCCCCTAGGAGGAGGAGGGCCAGGCAGCCTTGGCGGGTCTTCTCCACTGGTGCCTGTTGGCCCGCTCTCCCGCCGCAGTCCAGGACATCGTGTTCCAGCTGCAGCGCTTCGTGTCCACCATGTCCAAGTACTACAACGACTGCTACGCAGTGCTGCGTGATGCCGATGTCTTCCCCATCGAGGTGGACCTGGCCCACACCACGCTGGCCTACGGCCTCAGCCAGGACGAGTTCACCGACGGGGAGGACGAAGAGGATGAAGATGACGAGGACACGGCTACTGGGGAGCCGTCCAGGGATGCACGAGGGGCTGCCGGGCCCCTGGACAAGGGTGGGAGCTGGTGTGACTCCTGAGTGCCCCGTGGGGTGCGGATCTGGGGGGTAGGGTGAGTGGGAGGACAGAGCATGGGAGCTGGGGCGGGGCCGCTGCAGAACAGGGTGGCGCATAAAGGCCTGCTGGCTTGGGGCGCCTGCCTCCCTGCTCCTCTGTCCTAGCACAGCAAGCCTGGGCTTCTGCCCAGGAGAGGCCCTGGGCCCATGGCCTGGGACCTGGACACTGGCCTGCTCCGCCTTCCCTCCCCACCTTCCCAGCCAGATGGAGAGCTTGGCCTCTGGAACTGCCTTAGGAAGGAGAGAAGGGGCATGGAAAGGAGGTGGGGTTAGAGGTGGCAGGACGTCCAGGACCCGTTCCCTGTGGGCACCACCACTGGAGCCTGCTGGAGTGGGGGGCCGGGGGTGGACAGCCGAGGTTGGGTCCAGTGTCTTGTGTACACCCTCACCTCAGCCCAGGCTGGCCCCAGCCCAGCCCACACTCACACCTCGGCGGCCTTTATTTATTTTATTCCCCTAGCTCAGCCACTTCCCTGGGGAAGGGCCGGGCACTGGGCCTGTATTGAATAAACACAAACCCAGATGGAGCCGGGCTCTTTGCAGTGGCCTCAGACCCTCCTCCGCTCGACGCCCCATCTGCAGCCTCCCTGGTTGTGAGGGAGGGGGGGCAACAAGATTTATTGACATTCCCTTCGTAGATACCACTTATTCCTTGCAGTAGCTCTTTGAACTGGCGCTACTGGCCCCATTTACAGACAGGTGACCGGGGCTAGAGAAGTGTCTTGCTCAGGGCCATTCTGCGTACGGGGACAGAGTGGGATCTGGACTTAAATCTGTCAGGTCCCAAAGACTCCAGGGCTTGCTGTGCTTTGTGATGTCCTTCCCCATCTTTGATCCGCCAGTGCTCTGGCTAGTAGCTCGGCCTTTATATGGAAGGGCAGGACAGACACTGGGGCAGGAGGTCCAGGCCCTGCATTGGGGAGAGAACATTAGGGGTGCCCCCCCCCACACCAAGCGCACCTGTTCCGCTAGGGCCGTGGGAGGAGGCCAGGGGAGGCCACCCTAGTGAAAGTGGTCAAAATAGGCTGGCTGTGTGTCCTGCCAGCTGTGCAGTCCCGGTTCACACCTGTGGTCCCCGTGTAACTGACAGTGGCCCTTCCACTCTCAAAGTGGATGATACACGCTCATCTTGAGAAGGGGAGGAGGCAAGAGGCTGGGAGGGTGGGCAGGGTCTAAAGTGGGGTGGAGGGGTGGCTTTCAGCTTGTCAGCTTTGACTGCGTGTCGTGGGCAGCAACCTGAAGGGGGCTGCCAGGCAGGCCTGGGAGAGTGGAGGGAGGAACGGGTGGTCACTGGGAGTCTCTGCGGGTCCCCTGGAGCTCCAGGCCAGATCACCGCAGCCACTGTACAGGCCAAGGGCACAGACTGCAACCAGCAGCCAGGACTCCAGAGACAGCCTCTGCAACCCTGAGCTACTCCCTAACCTCTCTGTGCCTCAGTTTCCCTATCTGTGCTTGTGGCCAGTAATGGTCCTTACCTCACTGGGCTGTTACAAGCATTTGATGAGTTAACTCTTGTAAAGGGCTTAACGGTGCCTGGCACAGAGCCCCGCCTCTGAGTGTTTAATAAAACGTAGTCACTGTTCTAGTGACTCGGGGAAGTACAGACCTGCGTGAGTTGGCCAGGCTTCCGCGAGGGCTCCCCACGCCTCTGTGGGACCCGGATGGCAAATGAGACCAGCAGGGAGGGGGGCCACAGGTGGGATGGGCCCTCCTGAGCCCATGGCTGAATGTCCCAGGGCTCTGGTGGGAAGGCCCCTTCCTACTCTTGGGCCTGGTTTCCACACTCAAAGGATTTGGGGGGCGGGGAGACAAAGGAAGTGCCAGGTGTCAGGTTTGGGGGAAGAGAATCAATACAGAGGGAAGAGATCCCAGAGGCTTCCCGGCCAAGGTGAGACCTGGGGCTCCCTGCACTTGGATCGGAGTGCAAGAGGCCCCAGTGCCTCTGAGTCTGAGGACACCTGCTCCACGGCCCCCCTTCCCCATCCCTGCCACTTCTTCCCCCAGCACCTTCCCGGTCAGAGGGCCCTGGGGAGAGCCTCTCAGACTGCCTCCCACCCCCGCCAGCCGCCAGAGCTGCGAAGGCACAGGGACAGAGCCTCTGTCTTGCCGCTGAGCTTTATGAACTTCAGTGTCACACAGGGCAAGCCCTTGTCCGTGCACAGCAGCGTCACCAAGCCAGGGCAGGGCCTGGCCATGGCCACAGGGCAGGTGAGGGTGGGAGCTCCTGCCAGACCCCAGGGGTGGGCTCTGTAAAGCAGCCTCCGGTGTGGCAGGTCCTCTTGGGACAGCCGGGGCTCTGGGCGGGTAAGCCCACCTGGCCTGGTGCCCTCGGCTATACAGACTTGGTGTCCCGCCCTGGCCCTGCCTCCACCTCTGCGGGCCTGGCCCCCGGGCTTGGCACCTCCGGGGGCTCGTGGCTGCCCGGCTCCTCAGCACCGGTGGGCAGGGCCTCAGAGTCCGCCTCGGCCTCCGCGTCCTCGGTGTCGCTGGCCCCGCCCTCGGCCGCCTGGCCGGGCGGGGTGTCCCGAGAGCGGTGCAGGCAACACTTGGTGGCGACAGCCATGAAGATCCCAGCCAGGGCCACCTCAGAGCCAGCCAGGTAGAAGATGATCTCGTAGTTCTTCAGGGCATCCACCAGGCGGCCTGGGGTGGAAGGAGGAGGGGGGTGAGGGCCTGCAGGGAACCCCCCCTTCACCCTGCCCCACAGCCTCACATTAAAGGGTCATGCCCTCCCTCTGGTGGGGTTTACATTTGGGTGACAGACACACCCTGGTCTCTATTCCCGTCTTAAGAGGCAAAACCCCACAGGTGTTCTCCCCCTTAGACCTTGAAAATGTCACCACCTCCTTGGACCTCAATTTCTTAAGTGATAAAAGGCCTTTAGTGAGGCAGCACTTTATAGGTTACAAGGCACCCCCTCCACCCCAGACTGAAACCCCACGTGTGCCCTGTGACTTGCTTGGCTAGCAAGTGGGGAGGGGTCCTGGCTCAGCCTCACCCTCCTGGGGGCCCCTAACTCTTGCTCTTTCTACCTAACCCTCCTGGTCTTCAGGGGCCTGGCTCAGCTTTCTCTCCATCTCCCCCACCCCACCCCCAGCCTCCTCCCGCCCCTGCCAGGGGGCCCCTGGACCCTAGACTGAGTGCCCAGTAGTGCGGGCTGGGGGCAGGACTTGTGAGTCACAACTCCCCTTTCCCCCTCTGTATTTTCCGAGTGCTCTATCCAGGCACGTACTACTTTCATACTCAGGAAAATCTTAATTTTCATTGCAAATACTGCCCCCCCCCAGTATGGTTCCTCTGTGGGCTCCACCCTCTTGGCATTTTTGTTGCCCGCCACCCCAGGCTGTGACCCCTTGGTCAACAGCTCAAGGAGGCTTCCTGTGTCCCCCAGGCTGGCTGCCTGCCTGAGCCCCTCTGGGCACTCTTCCCAGACTCGCCCTCCTGGTCCCTGCCCAGCAGGCCTGTCCTGCCCCTGCCCCTCCCATACGCAGCCCTGCAGTGTTCATCACCTTCTTGTGTCCTATTAGATCCACCCCCCCAGGTCACATGAGAAAATGGAAGATGCGTCCCTGAGCCTCTGGAGGGCTGGTTTTGTGGCTTTTGGTGGTGGGCTTGGGGGGGCCACCCTCACAGAGTCAAGTGAGATGATAAGGCTTGACAAGGGCGCTCAGCTACCCCAGCCCCAGAAGGGGGGGGGCGGCTTGCCCTATCTCAGGGGCAGGCTGGGCCCCAGCAAAGGTGGCCTCCCCTCATTGCTCCATCACGCAGCCCGACAGCGCTCCTGCTCACAAGCAGGCTCTCTGCTGTTTCAGGGACAACCCACCAACCCGAGAGGACCCTAATATCCCCCCCATTTCCAAACTCACTTTCTGCATCACTTGTATAGGAACGCTGCCCCTCTAATGTGCCCCACACTGTCCCGTGTCCTCATTTGGGTCTACCCTGCGGGAATCCTTCCCTGGCCCCTCGTGGACTCCTGTGGAGTGCCCAGTGGGCCGTGGCACAGTGAAGGGCTGGAGCCAGGGCAGGGCCTGGCCGTGGCCCGCTGCAGAGGGGAGGGAGGCAGCCCCCTCTGGGCCCCAGGGTGACCACCGCAGGAGCACACTGAGCTCTCCACAGGCTGCTCCTGGCCACACGGCCGCTTCCTCAAACACGCTGCCCCTGTCCTGGTGACCCTTAGAGGCTGGGCACGCTGAAGCACTGAGCTGCGGGGCTCCAGAGGAAGGGGCAGCGGCCCTGGGCGGGGCTCTGCTCTCGTTGGGGCGCCGAGCTAGGCGCCCGCAGGTCTCCCACCTCTGCGGAATACGCGTCTGCGCTTCCCGGGACTTGGCGCCAACGCTGGAGAGGACCCGCCGCTGGTTCCTCGAGGTACCTTTCCCGCCCTCCCGGCCCCTCCCAGGCCTCGTGGTGCCGGCTTGGAGGAGGGCCAATTAGCCGTGGAGGGGGGCCCACCTGGCACCCCCGACCCCCCGGCACCCCCGGCAGCTGCATCTGGGACACGGCGCGCCCCCCTCGTCTCGGGCCTCTCGCCCGCGTCCGCTCCTCCCGCGGGGCGCACCGGCAGACGGCGGTCCGATGAGCACGGCCACGGCCTCGACGAGCAGCACCAGGCCCAGCGCGCTGGGGAAGCGGAGCGAGCCCACGGCCGCCATGAGCACCTCGAACTGCAGCGCCCCCACCATGCCGTACGAGAGCCCGAAGGCGACGCAGAAGGCCACCAGGGCGCCGTAGGAGCGCGCGCGCGCGCTGCTCAGGTCCGTGAGCCCGTTGGCCACCAGGGCCAGGCTGAAGAGGTAGGCGACGTGCGGGCGGAGGCGCGCCAGGCCCGCCAGGGCGCCGCAGGCCGGCCGCGCCACGATGTCCACGAAGCCCACGATGGACAGCAGGAAGGCGGCGTCGGCGTCCGGCACGCCCGCGTCCTTGGCGTAGTTCACCAGCAGGATGGCGGGCACGAAGAGCCCGAGCGCCATCAGGAACTTGGTGACGGCGTACACCGCGAAGGCGCGGTCGGCGCACACCGCCACGTCCAGCAGCCGCCGCCGGGGCCGGCCGCCAGGGGGCGCCTCGCGCAGGCGCAGCGCGGGGCGCTCGGCCTCGGCCTCGGCCTCGGCGTCCGCGTCGGCGGGAGGCTCGTCCGCGCTGTCCCGGCGAGGCCGCGGGCCGGGCCCCGGCGGAGGGCGCATGACGGCGCCGCACGCGCAGCAGTGCAGCAGGAGGCCGCCGAGCAGCAGGAAGCCGCCGCGCCAGCCGAAGTGCTCGAGCAGCTGCTGGCCCAGCGGCGACAGCGCCGACAGGAACACGGGGCTGCCCGCCGCCGCCAGCCCGTTGGCCAGGGGCCGCCGCCGCTCGAAGTACAGCCCCAGCATGATGAGCGACGGCTGGAAGTTGAGGGCCAGGCCCAGGCCTGCGGGCGGCGCGGCGCTGGGCGGGGGCTCTCCGGGGACGCCCCCACCCACCCCGGGCCCCACCCAGGGCGCCCCCACCCCGGGACGCCCCTATCCCGGCGGGAGGGGCGGGCCGGCCGCCTCTCCGAGGGGAAACCGAGGACCAGGAGGTCTTGCACCAGCGAGGACTCCCTGCCCCCCAACCCCCCCCCCCAGCCCCGTCCTCATAGGGGAGGCGGGGAGCCGAGGAAGGGCCGCCCTCACCTGTGAGCACCCCGGCCGTCAGGTACAGCTCCAGGAGGCGCGTGGCGAAGGATGCTAGGACCATGCCCGCCGAGGCCAGCAGCCCCCCCACCAGCATCACCGGGCGACAGCCGAAGCGGGTCACGAGGATGCTGGAGACTGGACCTGTGGGCAGGGCACCGTCACCGCTCCCGCCGGACTAAGCGCTCTCCCTGGACACTCCAGCCCCAGACGGTGGCTCCAAGGGATAAGGGCACCCGCTGTTCAGAGACGGCAGCGTCTGGCCAAGGTCACACAGCTTGGCTGGGAGGCGCCTGCGGGGCCGCAAGGCAGGGACCTGTCCTTGTCCACAGGCCCCACCCCCCACCCCTCCAGAGAACGGGGAACCCAAAGCAGAAGGAGCAGACCCCTCCCTTTTTATCTGCGCAGCTGGAATCGTCCCTTGGGCCGCCCAGGCTCTTTCCGTCCCTTACTCACACCCCCCAGGCGCTGGGCTGGGATTAACGCCAGCAGGTCCTCCACCCCCCAGGGGGCTAGGGAACCCGGAGCGGGGGGGGGGTGGGGTGGTGGATTTTATTTAGATCTGTTCCCCCACCTGTAAGAGAAGCGGGTGTAGGTCTTTGGCGGGAAAGGAGGGGCCCTGCAGGGGGGCCAAACTTGCCGGTCAGCCCCTGCCCTCTCCTCCCTTCTCTGGGGCCAGCGTCTCCACAGGGAGAAAGTGGTTTCCCTGGGATGCCCAGCGGGTCGGGGATCCCGCCCTCAGCCCTGGGCCTGGGGTTGGGGAGGGGCCTGCCAGGGGGTCTGACCCGTGCCGTAGAGCATGGCGAGCATGATGGAGGACACCCAGGCCGTGTCGCTGTAGCCCGCGCCGAAGTCGCGCATCAGCGCGCGGAAGAAGACGCTCACGGCCTTGGGGAAGCCGTAGGCGAACCCGGTGACCACGAAGCAGGCGCCCAGCACGGCCCAGCCCCAGCCCCCGTCTGGGGGTCCCTCGCCCCGCCGCGGGCCGCCAGCGCCCATCGCTGCTGCCTCTGCTGGAGGAAGGGGACAGGAGGGGGCAGGGAAGGTCTGTAGCCCCGGCAAGGAAGGCGGATGGAGACCCACCGTGGGGAAACTGAGGCACGGGGCTACCCAGGTGAGCCCTGCTCGGGGAATGAGCCAGGAGGGAAAACCGAGGTAGCGCCTCACCCCAAACTTGCCCTCCTCCAAAGGGCTTATAAAAGGTGAGAGGAGGATAATAGAATCGATCCCACCTGGGTCAGGACTTCAGGAAGACGGGCTCCGGAGGGCACTCCTTCCTAGGGACCTAGCGGTGGCCGGAGAGGGGGTGCTGGTGAGTGGGGGAGCTGGGCGGCCAGTGTGTGTGCCCCAGCTGCGTGGGAACTGCCAGGGTTCCCAGGGTGCAAGAACTCACGTGGGGGGGGGGCGTGGGGCGTGCAGAGAAGGGTAGCCAGGTGCCAGCTGCAAAATGGCTGGGTGTATTTGGCTCCTTGGCCAAGTGTTCTTCATTTTTCTCAATGACCAGAAATGACTATTGTCATCAGAATATTATGGAAAAAAAAAATAAAACAAAACAAAAAACCCCAGACATTTTGGAGTAACATTAGCCTCGTTTCAGGAGCCAAAGAAGCTGAGCTCCAGTTCATCCCAGCTTAGCCGTGGATCCGCTCTGTGACTCAGGCGGATCCTCCTGCCTCGCTGAGCCTCAGTCTTGTCACCTGTAAGATGGGCGGCCCATTGCCCCGGGGCCAACCGGGAGTCTTGGTGGGGTGCGGTCGGGACTCTGGCTCCACCTTGACCTTTGAGGGGGCACTAAAGAGACCTTCTGTTCTCCAAACCCCAAGCAGCTCCCCAAACCCTCCACAAGCAGAAAAGAGCTCTGAAGTCTCTCACACTTGTGGAGCTCCAGCCAGGGGTGCACGCAGCAGCCTCCCGTGGCCCCCGGAACAGCCCAGGTGGGTGGGCCAGCCCGCAGCTGGGGCCGGAGCCTCCTTCCCTCCTGCTGCCCGGCTGCACCCAGGGTCTTCCTCCTGGCGCTGGGCAGTGCCAGGCACCCCGTGGGGATCTGGGACGCCGACCCTCTCTCAGCAGGACCAGGTTCTGGCTTTTCCTGCCTGCTGTCCCCTCTCCGGACAAGGGGTCGGTCCTGGCAGCCCTCACCCCCACTCACCTGAGCCGTCCCGTGGCTTTGGATGTCCAGCCTCACATCTCCTGAGGCCGACCGGGAGGGGCTGCCCGCTGGCTCCCCCGGGGAAGCTAGCCTTACGGGGGCCGCGGCCGAAGACCCCCGGGCTGGCCTGCAGATCGGCCGCTGGCCTGGCTCACCCACGGCTCTCCCCCTCAGGCCTAGGGCTTAGAGTGTCCCCCCTCAACCCCTCTAAGAGGCTTTTGCTTGGAAAGGGAGAAAGGACAGGGCATTGGCCGCAGTGCAGGGCCAAGCTGGACCTCACGGTGGGGGGCCGGGTCTCAGGCTCTACCAGCAGAGCTAGAGAGGAGGCCCCTCCACTGGGCAGAGGATGCACAGAGCTCTGCTCTGGCAGGGGGGTGGGGGGGGGAGGGTCCTAGTGCTGCTGGGAGCATCGCCCTGCCCCTGAGAGACCCCACCAGCCCTACTCACCTCAGTGGCTCGCTGGCCCCCCACCCCCAGACCACATTCCAGGAGGGGCCTCTGAGGCTTTCCTCTGGATCAGGCTAATCCAGGTCGCTGAGCCTGGGACTGCGAGGGCGGGAGGGTCCAGAACAAAGGGTGCTGTGTCCCAGGCTGCCGGAGGGTGACTTGCTGGTGGTCCCAGACCTTGGCCACTGCCACCCCTCCCCCTCCGGCGAGGCCACCCTTTCCTGGGAATCCTAGAGCGGCACAGACACTGGGCCCGTGGGTGGATACAGCTGGAGGGCTTCAGGGCAGACCTAGAGATTTGCTTTAGCCCAGGGCTGTGAGAGTCTGTGCGGGAGCAGACGCCTCCCAGGGAACAACCAGGGACCCGCAGGGCCTCGGGGACCCCATTCTCCAGTGGGACGCCTCCAGCGCCAAGCCCCCACCCTAGGTCCCAAATCACACACTGCCAGTCCTGCTGCTGTGTCCACCTGCTTTTATTTCTCACTGTTTACAAAAGTCCAACAGGAGGACATACATAGGGTGGGGAAGGAGGGGTGTGGGGGCTCCTCCCTCATGGGGCGGGGAAGGGTTGGGGTGCACAAGGGAGGCCCCCAGGGAGAGTTCTAGGGCCCTCGTTGGGGGAAGAAATGATCCCGCCCCCCAATGCTGCCTGCTTTATTCTGACGGCCCCAGACCCCAGGCCAGTCCCCTGGGAGCTGCTCAAGCTGAGGGCATGGTTTGGGGAAGGGCAGCCACCCCCAGTATCCCCAGTATCAGGACCCCGGCTCCCTGGATCCACTGCTGCTGCTGCTGCCGCTGCCGCCAGCTCTGGGCAGCCCCTGGGCAGGCGTGGGGGTACGACCTCAGACCCCTGATGGACGGAGGCACCTCAGCGGATGAGGGGCGCTGAGCGGTCGTTGGTGACAGTAGGACGCAGCTTTACGGTGGCAAAGGGGTTGGTGCCCCTGTGAGGGGAGAGGTCGGGGTGAAAGGGGCCCAGGTGGTCAGCTGGCTCTGGGTCCAGGGGAAGTGGCTGGGCACCTGAGCCTGTGTCCGCCCCGACCTCCTGCCCCCCCATCTCCACTCACCCCTGCCTCGACTTCCCTCACAGCCCCCTCTGAGCCCTGCCCCTCTGACTCCTGCTCTAGGACTCACCGAGGGAAGAGCTCTGGGGGTTGCTGCTCCCAGGACATGAGTTTCTGCAGTGGGGGTGGAGGAAGGGCCAGGTTTAGGGGGCGGAGAGGGGCAGGTGAGCCCCTGCCTCTGCCACTCCCCATTCCAGGAAGGCAGAGGACGAGACCAGATGCCCCTGCAGTGCCAGGCTTCTGGGAAATAAGGCTGGGGTGTTCTGAAGCCCAGAATTCTGTGGATCGCAGACTTGAGAAGCCTCTGGACCCAAGTACCAACTCCCAGGCTGCAGATGCCCTCCCCGCACCCCACAACTCACCCCAGTCTTGCCCCACCAGCTCCAGCCCTGGCTCTGACCCAGGATCCTGGTCTTGCCTCTCCCAGGGGGTGGGGAGGTAGAGAGCACAGGCCTTTTCCAGTGCTCCCAGCAGGACAACGGGGGCTCCAGTCCCTGAGAGGAATGCTTTCCCCTTTCCCTCTGCCCCAGACTCAGAAATCCATCCTACACCTCCCCCACAGATGGGCAAACTGAGGCTGCGGCGGGGAAGACCCCCTGCCAGCCAGCCAGTGGCAAAGCAGGAGGGTTACCTGGCCTCCAGTCTCCCTGCCCACTGGGTGAGGGCTGGGCACAGGCGTTGCAGCGGGGGGCTCACCTTGACGTCACTGGCCACCCCCGTGCTGCCCATGCTGCTTCGCCGGCTGCTGGGCAAGGGTGGAGGCGCGGGGCTGGGGGCGCGGCTGGGGATGCGGCTCGGGGTTCGGGACCGGGGCTGGCCATCCCAGTACTCTGAGGGTGCTGTGGAGTTGCCCGGCCGGCCCAGGAGGTCATCAAGGCTGTGGCTGCCCCGGAGCGGGTAGGATCTGAGTCCAGAGGAGGGAGGGAGGCGTAGGGGGTCAGGCGGGAGGCCCCTACTGCACCCTACCCCATCTTGCTGGGCTCCTAAGCGTCCTACAGCCTCTTCCCTCGCACACGGGTGAAAGGAGGCCACGGGCTTGGAGGTAGAGGGATAGACGCAATGGCTGTCACATGTAGAAAGGAGGGGGTCCCCTTCCTCCAAAGGCCAAAGGAGGCTGAGTCCACTCAGGATCGCAACTCACAGATGTCCCCTAAGGCGCCACCCCCATTGAAGTCCCCACCCCTGCCCCACTTCTGACCACCGGGTACCTGGAAGGTAGCTCATTCATAGGGCTCATTGGGTTCATGGAGGTCACTGGGCTCAAGGCATTCATGGGACTCATGGGCATCTCCTCCAAAGGTTTCACATAGGCCTCAGGGAACCAGCCGCTCCTGCGGGGTGCAGGCAGAGGGCCCCATGAGCAGAAGGCCCAAAAAAAGAGGTCAAACTCACCCTCCTGGGAGCTCTTACTGAGCAGTGCTACGGGCCAGGCCTCGCTCAGAGGGCTTTACCCAGACTAACTCATTGCATCCCTTGAGGAGATCTTTCTCGACATTCAAGTCCAGACTCATGTCCTGCCAGGGGCCAGGTCACCTGAGGAGGCACTGGAAGCCCAAGGCAGAAAGTAGAGTGTCTGAGGACATGCTGTGACCCACTTCATTCCCCACCCACTGAGCACCCACCATGTGAGGCCCACGAAGAGCCAGACACCCTTCCTACTAGCCTAGAGGCTCCCCACCCGGCGGACAGACAGATTTGAAAATGCATGATGACAAGGGTGACTGGGAAGGGGTCAGGACCACAGACAACTGTATGAACCCAGAGGAAGGGGCACCTGAGCCAGGGCCGGTTGCTCCTCAGCCCCACTGTGGCCACCCACCCTAGGACTCTGGTTCTGGTGACCCCAGGTAGCCCTGCGCTTGGTCTTTGCCTGACTGGAGTCTCATTACTGCACCTGCAGAGCAGATGGGCCTTGGGAAAGGCACTTGGACTGATGTTCCTCAGCTTTTTCAGACCCTATTGGACCCATCAGATCCTTGCAGAGCATTTGGGAAAGTGTTCTCCAAAAAGCCCCCTTAGGCCCCACAACGTAATCAACAACTTTCTCACCTAAAGGTAACTGGATTTCAGCTCAAAATGACAGAACAAAACATTTCCATATGCTTTAGCTCTGCTTTCACCATAAAGTGCCCACTGATACAACCTGCCACCTCCTTCCCCAGCCGCGACCCAGGAACGTGGTTTGAGAGCACGGGTCTGGGTGGTTCAGAGCTGTTCAGGTCCCCAGGAGGTCAGCTACACACCTGTTGTGGGGACTTTCAGGGCTCCTGCTGCCTGCTGGTGTGGGCCCACAGAGCAGGGGGTTCCGCCCTGGTGTTTGTAGCCATCTCTCTGCCGGCCAGCCCACCCTTCAATTCTTGGTCCAGTGGTCACCTGCCATCCGTCCCTCTACCCTTGCGCCATCCCATCTTGCATCACCCATCTGTGATCCATGAGTGCAACCACCCACGGACGACCAGTCCCTAATCCATCTATCACCTCTTGACCACCTGGCTGCCCCTCTACCAACTCATTCACATACCTTTCCAGTCACTCCTCCGTCTAAGCACCCCTTATCTGTGCTTCCCCTCACCCGCAACACTCAATGCATCCCTACCTACTGACCTGCATCTTCCCGCCCATGTGACCACCCCCAGTTCATCTTCCATCCACCACCATCCACTGACCCACACCCTCCCATCCACCCTTTACCTGTCCATGGCCCACTGACCCACCCACCACCCTTGCAAGTCCTTCACAGGCACCTGCTGACTCCTCCCTCGAAGCCCTCGTTCATCCCTTCTCCCCCACAGCATAAGTGGGAGTGAGCACCACACAGTCCCCCTCCATAAGCCCTGTGGGGGTCACTGCCTGGCTCCCACATGCTCCCACCTCCTCCCTCCCTCCTCTTTGGCAGAAAAAGTGATCCTTGCACACGCCCCTTTTCTGGGCTGCCAACCCCTACTGTCTGCCAGCCTTGCAGGGACCCCGATGGATTTCCCCACCTCTAGCTTCCACTCCTGGTGTCAAAACCAACCCCCCTTGGCGATCTTTAAGGACCTTCCCTGCACGGGCTGCAACTCAGCCTGTGAGGTCCCAGCATGGCCTGTGGGCCTGGCCTGGGGGAGCCCGCCTGCAGGTGCACCCCCTCCATCTACTCTGCTGACTTTCTCAGGGTGCAGAGTGGAAGCTGCTCCTCCCTCCGTGTGGGGCATCCAGAAAGTGCCCAAGCAGTCGGGTTCCTGCAGCGTTCCCACGCGTGAGAGAACCTTCCCATTCCTCCCAAGGGCCGCCACCCTGTCCTTGGCCTACATCCGGTGGATGGATGAGGACACCGAGGGCGGGGGGGGGGGGGGGGGGGGGGGGCGGAGAACTGTCTGAGCCCCAGAGCGCAGGGGGGCGCGAGGGGCGGGACAAGCCTCCATCGGGCGGATCCCAGGCCTGGGGCCTCCCCCCCCTCCCCCGCCTCTCCCCCCCCCGCCTCCCCCCCCCCCCCCCGCGCCCAGGGCTCCCACTCACGCGGACGAGCCCTCCAGCTTGCCGTAGAGCCAGCCGTTCTGGGCCTCCTGCACCAGCACCTCCACGACGTCTCCGGCCGAGAAGCGCAGCAGCGTGTGGTTGGCGCCCTCCGAGTGGGAGACGAGGGCGCGGACCCTCCTGGCGCCGCCGCCGCCGCCGCCGCCGCCGCCGCCCCCGCCCGGGCGCTCGCCGAGGGAGTCGGAGCGCGAGCAGCGGGCGCCGCCGGCGTAGAGCGAGGCTGCCGGGCGGGGAGCGCGGGCGCGTGGGTGGCCGGTCCCCCCGCGTCTGCCCGCGATCCCGCCCGCTGCGGCGTCCTCCCGGCCGGGATCCCCTCCCCCGGGGCGCCCCCCCGCCCCGCCCCGCCCGCACTCACAGGCCGACGGCGTCCGGGGCAGCTGCGTCGCGGCCCGCGGCTCGGCGGGCTCGGGGGCGCCGTAGGAGCCGGAGCCGTGCCGGCTGCGCGGGGAGCTGAACTCCGCCAGGGGCCTCTGGGGCTGCGAGGGGAGACGGGCAGGGCAGGGTGGGGCGGGGAGGGGGCCGCCGCGGGGCCCTAGTCCAGCCCCCACCCCCAGTCCCAGGCGTCGGCGTAGGGGTTCTGGGGCCGGCGGCCGGGCCACCACCACGGGGGCGCCGGGGCCAGGCCGGGGCGGAAGGGCGGCGGGCCCGGGGGCGCCGCGTAGACGGGGAGCCCGGGGCGCAGGAGGCTCCAGGCGGGGGCCGGCGGGGGCGCGAACGGCGGCGGCGGGGGCGCCCAGGGCCTCACCATGTCCGGGCGGGTGGGCGTCAGGCGGCCCGAGGGGTAGGGCGGCCCCAGCACGGGCCCCAGCAGGCCCGGGGAGTGGGCGCGCGACGGGCTGCGGCTGGCCTCCGACTGCTCCTTCCACAGCAGCACGCGGTTCTGGAGCACGCCCCGGGCCTGGCCGCGGGGGGACACGGGCGTCAGCGGGCGTCAGCGGCGTCAGCGGGCGTCAGCCGGCCCCAGCGGCCCCCAGCGGCCCCCAGACGGCCAGGCCTGGGCACGCGGGCCCCCAAGCTGGGGGGACCCGATTTTCTGGCGGGAAGGAGCCAGAGATCGCTGCTGCTGCCCCCCTGTCACGTTGGACTCGTCCACCGCCCAACCCTCTTGGGTCCAAGGCCCCTCGGTTTTCCTTGAGGTGCTTCTCCTGCCCCTCCTCTCAGGCCGTGTGCTTTGGCCCTGCTCCCCCAAGGCCCAGGACCGGGGTAGGGGTAGAACCCGGGCCTGGCCGCTCAGGTCGCTCCATCCTGCCGGTTAAGGTGATGGACTCGGGGATGACACTTAGCCAAAAACTGTGACCAGAGACCCCAATCCCAGTACTTATCCTGGAACAATCTGGAAAGATACATTCTTTGACCTCATGGACTTGGCTAAATAGAGTGAAGCCAGCACAGGAAACCATAACTAAGGGAAAATGGCAAATTTCTGATGACATGCATGCTCCTAGATCCAGCTATACCTGAAACCCTTGAGCTTCATAGTAACTAAAGTGATAAGCACCTTTCCTGTGTAAGCCAATTTGAGTAGTTTCCTAAAAGAAGCCTTTCAAATAGTTTTACCAGTCAATTCCTTTTAGTCTATAAGCATTCCTTGTGTCCCAGGAACATGGGCATCTAACTCTGAATACTTTCAAGGAGGGGAAACTCAGCAGTTGACCACATACTCCATAACAGCTTGGGGTGGGAGGGTTTTAAGTGTCAGACCCGCTGTGTGCATTAATCATGTTTTTAATTTTCTGTATTTTATAATGTTTTGAAGTCCTGGGGCTTTGCCAGTCCTGCAGGGATTGCTGCTCCCAGGGCTAGGTAATTCCTAGAGGTAAGTAAGCAAGTTGTGCCTGTGACTGCACCTTTCTAAGATCCTGCCTCCTGTCTGGCCCAGCTGCTGAAAGTCTCATAGGGATCTCAGGCAGCAAAACAGAAGCAACTCACATCACAGGAGGAACTAGTCCCCTTGGTCACTAGGTGGACACCCCCTCTGTTCCCTTGCAGAATTAGCAAAACAGCACAGAGACCAAACTCCAAATGTCTTCATGTGCGTGCTGCAGAAGCAGTGTGCAAAGCAAGCACGTTGGGTTCTGCATACCACATTTTTAAAAGAGTTTTTGTCCAATTTGAGAACATTCAGTGGAAAGCACCCACCAGGGTGCTAAGGGCTTCTGGGAGTAAAGGCCACAGCACCAAGTCCCAGCCTGGACAGCACTCAACTTTACTGGCTTCCCTGATTCCTGCCTCCAAGCAATTTTGCCTGTGGTTGGAAAGAAACACCGTGCAGGCTTTCAAGACCATTAGGAGACCTTGGAAGAATTTTTAAAACATTTATGGACTGGAAGAGCCATTCTAAGTATGCTTGAGACCCCACAGACTAGAAAAGGCTGATAAAGTTAGCTAAATGAAAACAATTTTTTAAAACATGACAAAACCTACCATAAGCAATGACCAATGATAAGTGACAAACTGGGAAAATATTTGCAATGCATCACCAAGGAAGGGCTCATTTCAGTAACATATAAAGAGCTCCAAGAAATGAATAAGAAAAATAGAAGAAAAGAGGCTGACCTGTCCCAGTAAAGGACATCCGATGGCTCAGAGCCATGAAAAGATCTGTCTCACTTATAAGACAAGTATAAAATAAAACCACACAGAGATACCGGTTTTACCTTGCTGATTAGCAGAGATTGAAAAGTTTGCTCTCACACTGTTGTCAGGGAGAAGGGAATGTCCTACATTACCAGCAAGAGGGTAAACTGGGACAACCAATGCCTATATCCTTGGGCTCACCAGTTCCATTCCTAGGAATTTATCCTGGAGATGGACTCTCACAAGTGCCATAAACCCAGAGAAGCTGAGGGTGAGGTGGGCAGAGAGGCATGTTATTGACCAGATGCAGACTCAGCCAGGACTGGGGGAGTGTGAGTGTGACCTCTTGCTGTGCTCAGACCTTCACCATTTTTTAAATTTTGTTCCAAGGGGCACCTGGGTGGCTCACTCAGTTGGGCAACCAGCTCTTGGTTTCGGCTCAGGTCATGGTCTCATGGTCCTGGGATCAAGCCCCGTGTCAGGCTCTGTGTTCATCAGGGAGTCTGCTTGAGGATTCTCTCCCTCTTCCTCTGCCCCTCCCTCTGCCCTCTCTCTTGCTCTCTTTCTAAAATAAATAAATAAGTCTTTAAAAATAAATAAATAAGTAAACCTTGTTCCAAATCTTGTGCAATCTGTTTATGGATATAGTAACACATAAATATTTGTGGTTGACTATCTTAGGAGTTTGATCTAGTGTGTCCTAAAGCCCAGCTGGATCAGACAACACGATACCTGTCCATTCTCCCCCATACGTAGGGGAAGTCTGGCTCATTCAATCCATGGCTCCCTCCTGCGGGGCAATCACTCAGCTCTCCTGAGTTTGACCTGCATAAGCTCGCAAGATATTCTATTTTAAAACAGAGAGAGAAAGCACAAACAAGGGGAGTGGGAGAGGGAGAAGCAGACTCCCTGTGGAGCTTGATCCCAGAATCCTGGGATCAAGACCTGAGCCGAAAGCAGACACTTAATGGACTGAGCCACCCAGGTGCCCCTAATTGCTACATACTCTATTGAAGCATTGGATCTATCCTTTTGATACTAATATGCAGAAAAAGTGATTTACTTTTGAAAATTCACTGATAAAACATTTGATACCACTTCCTGGAATACGGTACCAACAAGATTCTATTTTGAAGCAAAGTGGTCATGTTTAATATTAGGTTCAAGAGAGTGGAGATAAGCTTAATTTCCCTTATCTTTGTTGTCAATTTGAATATTACTCCAATCAAGACTTTATTTGGTCCTTGGTAAATAAAAGCTTAATATTTAGTAGATGGATTAATAAGATCAACTTATGTGTGTATGTAAGTATATATATTCTTTATTTTAAATAAAGCCAATTGGCATTTTGGTATTGAAAAAAAAAAAAAAGACGAGTGGCTCTCCTCTTAATGTTGGAGGTTACCTGTTCAGGATATGGGGAGAAAGAAGCTTCCTGACAAGGTTTCTTTTTTTTTTTTCTGACAAGGTATTTAAATGGCCAACAAGCACACTAGTCATCAGAGAAGTGCACATCAGAAGGGCTACCACTTCACAGCCACTAGCGTGGTTTTAATCAAGATGACTGACAATAACAAGTGTCGGCAGGGATGTGGAGGAAGCAGTGTGGGTGAGACCGTGATGTGAGATGGTGCAACTGCTTTGGAAAACAGTCTGGAATTCCCTAAATGGTTAAACACAGAGTTAGCCTATTCTCAGCAAGTCCCCTCCCAGGTAGCCACGAGGAATGAAAACATACGTCCACATAGAGACGTCTACATATATCCGTAGCAGCATTATTTATAACAACCGCCAAGTAGAAACAACCCAGATGTCCATCCACTGATGACTGGTTAAATCAACGTGGTCTCTGCAGACAACGGGATAGTATTTGGCAGTAACAAGGAACGAAGGATGGTATGTGCCACAACACGGGTGAATCTTACCCACAAAGGACCACATAGTGTATGGTTCCATTTATAGGAAATGTCCAGAAGAGGCACATCTATAGAGACAGAATATAGATCCATGGTTGCCCATTCCGGAAGGGGGGGTTGGTGGGATGGGGGATCATTGGGGAGTGACCGTTAGGGGTGCTGGGGGTTTTAGGGATAACACGAATGTTCTGAACTTGACCGTGGCCATGGATTCACAACTCAGCAAGTATACGAGACACTGCTGGACTATACACTTTAAATGCATGAATTGTGTGCTGTGTGAATATCTCAATACGATTATTTAAAAGAAGAATATTTAAAAGAAGAATAAGCAGTCTCTCCTCTCTGGAGCATCACTCTGAGAGAGAGAGAGAGAGAGAGAGAGAGAGAGAGAGAGAAGGGGTAGGAGGGGAAGCCTCCTGTCGGGGGCTGCCTGTCGTGGGAACAGAGGAAGAATGTCAGCTGGGGCTGAAACCAGTCGCTGGATCCAGCCATGTCCCCACCTCCACTCAGCACCGGAGGGTCCCTGGGTTTGTTTGTTTGTTTATTTTTAAAGATTTTGTTTATTTATTCATGAGAGACACAGAGACAGAGACAGAGACAGAGAGAGAGAGAGAGAGAGAGAGAGAGGCAGAGACACAGGCAGAGGGAGAAGCCGGCTCCATGTAGGGAGCCCGACATGGGACTCATCCCAGGTCCCCAGGATCACGCCCTGGGCTGAAGGCGGCGCCAAACCGCTGGGCCACCCGGGCTGCCCAGGTCCCTGGGTTTAGAGCCTTGGGAAGGGGCCTGGCAGAAGCAGGGAGGCAGGAATCTGCTGGGGGCTGTCAGAGGCAGCCAGTTGGAAGCAGACAGATCTCCTGAAGGGTAGCTTTTATTTTTGGCTTTGGAGGGGAGTAGGGGCAGGAGACTCTGATACCCCTGGGCTCCTTCACATGAGGCTCTATTGCTGCATCAACCTTGCAAGGTGGGGATTATTCCCCTCTTTTGTCAGATAAGAAAAAGAGACTCAGAGAAGTGAAATCATTTGCTAGGTTTGCAGCCAGGGCACAGCAGCTGGGAAACCTGATCAAGAATACAAAGAAAGAGAAATAGTGGTGGGTGAGGAGCCCTGCTGGTGACATCAGGAAAGAGAGGCTGGCTCTCAGATATGACACAGTCAGAGCCTGACATGTCTTCTGGGCTCAAAGAATATTTATTAAGGACATAAATGAGCAAATAACCTTGGAAAAATGCAGGGACAAGGTCATCGATTTATGAGGGAATGGTGGAAAAATGATGTCCCAGTGTCCTTGGTCCCTCCTTCTACAGATCCCACCAGACCCACAGACCAGACCAGGCCACATGCCAGGTGGGCAACTGGGAGGCTCCGGACTGTCGGATCTTTACAGTTAACAGCAGGACAGAACTTTGGCCAGTACTGGGCTGGCTGGACAAGAGGGGCTCTGGCCATGATGCCCACAGAGGCACTTGGGAAGGACAGTGTCAAGTGTCCCTCCTGAGTGTGGCCTGGGAGGGGCTGCTGGCTTTCCTGAGTCCCAGGGCTCCATAGGTTTGGGCTGCTGCTAGCCCATAGGATAGTTCCTTATAATTTAGAGATAAGTGTCCCCTATGGATGGACAGAGCCTGCTGGGCACACCTTTGGTGAGAGGATGGCCTCTTTATGCAAAGAAAGAGGTGCTCCTTTCTCTAGGAAAATACGGTCTGCACCAGTGTATTCAGCTTGGAGAGTAGAGCACAGGCCCTACTCTTAATCAGGTACCCTTGTGCAGTGCTCAGTCTGCACAACCTTCCCCGGCGGCCCTGTCTGCAGTGGTTCTCCACAAGAGTAGACTAAATTAATCCCTATCTCTCATGCTGAGCTGATGCTTGCAACAATAGGAAGACCTGGGTTAGGAGGGGGATACTAGGGGGTAGAGATGGCTTCACTCCCCCAACCTCCCACATTTGCCAGTACCACTGCCTGAGCCCTTGCAACTCAATTGAACCCAGAGTGGGAACAGGACACGGGGAGGCAAAAGAAAGAAACAAGACACCTGAGAGGACCCAGCGGTCAGGGAGGAGAACCCAGGAGACTACCCAGGCAGCTGAGAGAAGGGGGTGAAAAGATTAACAAGATCTTGATAGGAGCGTTTGCTGCATTAACAAAGACCTTCTTAGCCAGACAAAGCACGATCTTAAGATTGAAGATTGAACAGATGAACTAGAACACAATCAGGCCTGACACGTCAAGGCGGAGAAGTATCTCACAATATAGAATGAGGACAAATGAAATAGACTTGGCAAAGGAGGAGGTCATAGATGTGGAGTTCTAGAAGGAGAAAAAGGAAAGACAGTGGAGAAAGGAAAGCAGCTCCTCTGACCTGGAGAAAGAACTGAGCCTGCAGAGTGAGGAGAGTGGCGGACACTCCTCTAGGGGTGCCCAGACAAGTTCCTGAGTCCCAAGGACCCCAGGAAAACCTCCAAGCATCCAGAGAAAGAGCCAGTCACTTAAGAGGGAAAGTAGACAGACCAGCACCTGCCTTAGCATCAACAACACAGAGTGCCAGAAAACAGGGCAATGTCCTCTTGGACCCCAGGAGAAAAAGCCTCCAGCTCTGGAGTCCTTCAACCAGCCCACATGCCACTCAGCACTCTGGGAAAAAGTGAGACATTTGTACATATGCAAGGATTCAGATGGAGTAGCTGCAGAAAACATTCAGTTAATCAAGACAGAAACCCCAAGACAGTGGGAAAGGAAAAGGAGTGAAAACACAGTGGTATCAGCGTATCTGATCATGTGTGTAGTCTGCGGGTGACCATGCACCAGGCAGCAGAAAGATATGTGATCTCAGAGAAGCCTCTCAAAATAAAAGGATCATGCTGCAAAGAAATGACCCGTGAGAGCTTAGAACTAAAGGCCCTAGGTTTTTAGGTAAAACCAAGAGCTGGGGGTCGGGGAGCATAAGGGGAGGAGTTAGGCCACATTTTAGAATTCCAGAGAGGGCAAGAAAATCCTTCCCCAGGCCTCATCTTAAGGGTCAGGGGGCCGCAATGGACAGTGTAGTGTCAGAGAGTTTGTCAGTATATTTTGAAAAGATAATAAGGAATATATGTTATTATGAGGGTCACAACATGAGGTCATCATGAATAGAGATAAAAAGAACAGTAGGATTTGTTAATAAAGGGGAAAGGGAAACATGTAAAAACACAACCAAAGCAACAAGAGCAAGCATGAGAGAAAAAGAAGAAATGACCAAGTAAATGCAGTTAAGTTATCCTGAAAGCATAAAACAGGTGTATCAGTTGTTGGGGTAACGGGAATAAACTGAATTCCTCTATTTAAAGACATAGGCTGTCAGACTGGTCAAAAGTCAAAACTGAACTATTAGCAACAGGAACACACTTAGCATGCAGTTATTGATCTTAGGATCATGAGTTCAAGCCCCATCTTGGGTGTAGAGATTACTTAAATAAATAAAACTTTAAAATAAAGAGTTCACAGAAGAGAGAAGAGGGTCATTTTAATCTCAAAGTGAAATGAAAAGCTTCAGGCTGGATTATGAGAGACATTAAATAAATAAATAAATAAATGGCAACATTTACAGAGAAGGTAATGATAGTTGTAAACCCAACAGCACTAAACAACATGGCAGTTAAACACAGAAAGCAAAATCCAGTGAGAAATGAAAGAATCTGTTTGATCTAGCAGATAGAATGGAGCAAGAGCACAGAGGATCTAAATAATATGATCAAAGTAACAGACAATAACTAAATAAACCTATGAATCCATGAATTTGTGAATGGTGAGTATATGCAAGCAGGAATGAAAAAATAAATGGTTCATATATGAGTGAATAAAGGCATGAATTAATGAATGAATGTGAGAATGAACAAAATCATGAATGAATGAATATCTGATGATAGAAATAAACACAGAAACAACCAAAGAAATAGATGGGGAGAGTGAACAAATTAATAAAATTGAATAAATTTCTACAGAGAGGAAGGATAGAAGGAAATCCCATGGGTGGTCAGCTCACAGAGAGCACAGACCCTAGGAAGTCTCCATTAGCTGTCCCCCAGTCCCAGCTCACCCGGCCAAAAAAATGCAGGAAGGTGTTGGAAAGCAGCAGATGCTTCTCAGCCAGGAAACGATAGCGCCGCTTCTCTTCCAGTTCAGCTGCCCGCTGACTCTCAGACATGAAGGCCTGCATCTGTGCGTGCAGCCGGTTCACGCTCTCCTGCCGAAGAAGTGGGTTCTGGCTGGAGGCAGGGGGTGGATGCCTCCTCCCACCCTCCACCAGTGCCAGCTGTCAGAAGTCTCTCTGTCCTTCCTGAGCCAGCCATCTCCCCCTGGAGGCCCTCCCCCGAGCACCCAGCTCACCGGAGCTCCCGGGCCCACTTCTCAAGGGCACCCTCATCCTCCTGAGCCTGGGCTCTGTGTCCAACCAGCCCGGGCACTCCTCACAGGGAGGGCTGGTGTCTGAGCCATCCCTCTGACCCCAGGCATGGGGCCAAGCACCAAGGGGGGGCCCAGGAAGGTTGGGTTAAGGAACTGTGAATGAGTTGATTAATAAGTCCCTACTTGGGAGGGTAGATTCTGAAGGGGAGAGATAAGAGCTTAGTCAAGGAGCCAGAAGAGGAGACAGGAAAGGAGATAAAAGTCCTGGAGATGGAGGCCAGGGATGGGGCCCTGAGCTTAGGAGGAGGGCTGGCCCTAGCCAGAGGTGGGGGGCGCAGAGGATGGCGGGGTTGCTGGGGAATTACGCAATAGCTACCACGGTCAGGAGCAGCAAGGCTGATGGCCTTAGGTTTTCCCAGTGAAGTAGAAGGCGCAAGGCCTGGGACTCTGGGGAGGGCTGGGAAGTGACAGCATGAGGAGCAGAACTGAGGTGGCCCTGGGGCCCAGCAGTGCCTACCCACCAGGGGCCGGCTGACCTCCCTAGCTATGCTCACCATGGAGCATGAGGCAGGTGGCCCTCCTGGGGTTGGGCCAGTGCCGGGTGGGGAACCCAGGAGGGTGTCCAGGGGCCCCCCAGAGCCTGTTTTGCCCCCAGCTCTTGTACCTTCATCTCCCGCACATTCTTGTCCCTCTTGCGTTCCATGCGCCATAGCTCAGACATGCACTTCTCCAGGTTGGCGGCTCGGTGGTGGTATTCGAGCTCGTAGTGCTGGCGACTGTCCTTGGGTAGGGTGGAGAGAGGAGGGAGACCCCCATGTCAATGAGCTCAAGACTCCTGGCCCATGGGTTGGAGTACTGGACAGGGCCCCAGGGGGGCTCAGCTGGGAACACGTGCAGCCTGGGGCCAGTCAATGCCCAGCGCAGGCCTCGGCGTGCCATCTATCAAACGAGGAGAGGCAGTCTTGCCTGTGATGGGCTGGGGGGCCAAGGTGGGTGGCCAGACTTACTTTGATGAACTGCATGTCCAGCTTGGTGTTCTTCTCCATGTGCTGCAGTAGGTCTCCATGGAATGTCTGCACCTGTGTGGAGTGCAGAGTGGGGGTGATCAGGGTGGCCCTAATCTTTCCCACACTGCAGCATCCCTTGCACACTGCCCAGTCCAATTCAGCCCACTGAGTTCCTAACACACCAGGCACCTGCCCAATCATCCGAGAAATGGTCATAATAAAAGCACCTGGTAGAGGGAGGATTAAATAGTTAAATATGCAAAATACGTAGTGCAGTAGCTGGCTCGCCACAACTCTCCATAAATGTATCAGTGTCTCCTGGTTCACAGTCCCAGTCTGTGCTTTGATTATGCCATTCCCTCTGCCTAGACTTTCCTACCAGACTACACATCCTAGCTTCCCTGCCTCCTCTACCAGGAGGTCACCCTGGCTTCCCCAGCAGAAGCCATGGTTCTCCCACTTTGTCTCTGGAATGTATACATACATTTGTTCATTTACTTTTCATTCCCCTTAGCCATAGGACAGAATTTCCTGCTGGGCCCCTGCTCACAGCCCCTCTGGAGGAGCAGCAAGCTGCTGTGTGCAAGAGCCGCGTCTGACCCATCTCTGTGTCCCCAGCACTGGGGGCAGGGCCTGACCCAGTGAAAGTGCTCACAGCCATTGACGTCTTTTTTTTTTTAAACAATTTTTTAAATTTTTTTATTTATTTATGATAGACATACAGAGAGAGAGAGACAGGCAGAGACACAGGCACAGGGAGAAGAAGGCTCCATGCACTGGGAGCCCGATGTGGGATTCGATCCCGGGTCTCCAGGATCGCGCCCTGGGCCAAAGGCAGGCGCCAAACCGCTGCGCCACCCAGGGATCCCGCCATTGATGTCTTAGCTGAGGGGTGGCTGGTTTCCATGACAGGAGAGACAGAGGTGGCTGACCACCTGGGTGACCAGGAGGCCGGGGAAGGCTCCAGGCTCAGGCTCAGAAGAGCTATGTCCTAGTAATTCTGGTTCTGCCTCCAATTTGCTCTATAACTTTGGACAAGTTGCTGTCCCTCTCTGGGCCTCAGTTTCCCCATCTGTAACAGGAAAGTCTTGGCCAGATGCTCTTGAAGGTCCAGCCTTGTGAGCCCGAAGAGCTTTGATTCTGTGAGCCTTGGTGCTCACCTGGGACCTTCTCCTGGAGTCCCCCCATTAGCGTTCCCTGGGCCACTCTGTTGTGGGGACATCTGATCTAAACCCTTCAGTGGCATGCTTTGCACTTGGGTTCACAGGGAGCAGAGAGGAGTGTCCCCCATCCTGCGGCCACTCCTGCCTCAGGGGACCTTTGCTCAGCCTCCTTTGTCTGCACCCCACTCCCCCCAGTGGCACCTGCTCAAGAACCCGCAATGGATGCTGCCTGCTGCCACAGGGGTCCCCATGCTGTGCTGGGGGACTTTTGTCCCCTGGGGTTGGGCATTGCCCAAAAGAAGAATGTTGGTCATCTTCTTCCAGTATGTAAGGGAAACTAGTCAATGGTAAAACTTGCAAATTTTATGTTTTTCTCCCATAATTGTTTCTGAAATGCTGGTAACTGCTGGTCTGTAGGGGAGCTTGAGTGGGGCCCCCCTTGAACTGTGAGTTGTGGCTGCTGGGATGTGTGTGTGTGTGTAGGGCAATCAGTGTTATGAATGCAGCCAAGACCACATAACCACCCTTATCCATCCAGTGATCCAGGAAGCAAGGAAGTGAGCTTTCCAACCTGCACCTGTGGGACCTCCCAGTGCGGCCACCAGAGCCCCTCACTCCCTCCTCCCCTGGCCCTGCTTCCCACTGAAAAGACAGTCCAAGGTTTCTGCTTGAACACCAAACATGGGTTCTTGAAAATCCCCATATCCTGCAAAATCTCCCAAAATAAACAGCAGGGCTTATGGGAGATACGGTGTTGGTGTAGACCCTCCAAAACCAGGCAACGTTGTAACCACAGCACTAATAGATGACGAGTGGTACCCAAAGACGAACTTGAACCACACCAAAGGCTACGGAGAAAATCTAAAATGCACAAATCCAACAAGATGGACACACCAGCTCTGCCTAAATTAGTGCAGAGCTGATGTGCTGAGAAATGCAGAGGCAAGTGGGGCTGTCACGAAGGTGGGCGAGGGAGGCAGTGCCGCCTGCCCCCAACTGAGAGCCTTAGGCCACTGGGAGCACTCTCCCCAGGGAGGCCTGGGTGCAGGAGCTTTTTTAACGTGTTCTGAAAATACAGATTAAAGGGTTGTTGCAGTCAGTGCTGCAGGCCAGCTGGGGGCTTCCTGATTCTGTTTGCTCTATCTCACTCTCACCTAGGAGACGTGGCTCCTGAACAAGCCACCTTCCATGTATCAGATGTCATTCTTCTGCTTCTAGTCAGGTATGAACAGATTCACACCGTGGATGTGTGTGTTAGAATGGGACAGCTGGATGGTAATTCTTTCCATTGCCATGTCTTGGCTGTGATCACCAACGGGGTAGAGGACACAGACCCAGGATGCCCCAATTAGATGGGGCCCCGGGCACCATTGGGTTAATGGAAAGTCTTTGTTCAGCTCCGGAGGAAATGGATCCATTAAAAGGTTGATAATTGACATGAACTTTGAGCTCTTGCTATGGGGGAACCCTAGGACTATCTACTAACGGGTGACTTCTGAAACAAGGAAGTCACCAAACCCAGGCTGACTGAGTCATTCCCAGCAGGTCAGAGCAGAGACTGCCCTCCCTTCCCTGTATCCTCTCAGCATATACTTCATTAATGGGTCCTGTGAGCTCCTCAACATAGAAGCTGAGAGCAGACCCACTGTGGAAAATACACATCGCAAGGTCTATGTATTGTTGTTCCAGTAACTTGAAAGAAATCCTTTTGCCGCCTAGACAGGAACCCCCCACCCCCCGCTGGAAGAATTGTCCCTGTGGGTGATGCCACTCCTGTCTTCCCCATTTGTTCTTGAACACCATCCAGTAAGGCTGTGCCCCAGCACACCTATAAGACAGTTCTTGTTGAAATCACTGACACGCCACATCACAAAGCCAACTCTCAGGATGCATCTGACATGAACTGTGGTCATCATTAGACACAGTTGATCATTCCCTCCTGAAACCCCTTCCTCACTTGGCTTCCAGCCTATTACCCTCTCCTGGTTTTCCTTGCACTCCTACCCTCGCTGCCTCTTCTATCATTTGCTGATTCTCCCTTATGTCTTGATTCCTCAGGGCCTCTTCCTTTCCCTTCCTCCACCCACTCCCTCCATGAGTTCATCTGTCCATATGCTCATGGCTCCCAGACAAACAACCCAGCCTAGACCTTGACCCCAAACTCTAGCCCATATTTCCAGTTGGTTTTCTAATAAGCATCTCCAACTTACCATGTCTAAAACTAAGTCCCCGATCTCTCTCCTCCATCTGAACTGCTCCATGCTCAGTATTTCCCAATCGGCTAATGGCAAGTACACCTTTCCAGTTGATCAGAACAAAACCTTAGAGTTAGTTTGACTTTCCCTTTTCTTTGGCAATTGACATCTACTCCATCAGAAAATCTTGTTGGCTTTAGATTCAGTCTGATTTCTTCTCAACACTACCGTTGCTGCCACTTTCCCAAGCCATTTCAACCCACCTCCAGATTACTGCAATAGCCTCGAAATTGGTCTTCCTGCTTTTGCTTTTGCCCTCTACTGCTGATATTTTATTCTTAGTGCAGGAGCCAGGGTGATCCTACTAAAAAATAAGTTAAACAATGAACAACTGGAAAACAAAATTTTAAAAATTCTAATTATAATGGCTAAAAGAATCAAATACCTAGGAACAAATGCAAAAGATGTACAAGACTGCTACCCTGAAAATGGCAAAGAGTTGCTATGAGAAATAAATAATGGAGAGATATACTATGTTCATGGATTAGAAGACTCAATATTGTTAAGATGACCGTTAATATATATGTATTTTTTTTTTAAGTAGGCTCCACTCCCAACATAGAGCTTAAACTCATGACTCTCAGATCTAGAGTTGCATGCTCTACTGACTAACCCAGCCAGGTCCCCCTATGAGGACCATTAATTTATAGATTGATGCAATCCTTGTCAAAATTCCAGCAGATTTTCTTAGAGAAATTGACAAACTGATTCTACATATGCAAATGCAAAGGATCTTGACTGTGCAAAATAATTTTGAGAAAAAAGAACAAAAATTCTTAGACTATTTGATTTTAAGACTCACTATAAAGCAAGAGCAATTAATACAGTTGTAGTATCAGTGTAAGGATATACAAATTTATCAATGGAACAGAGTAGAGAGCTCAGAAATAGACCCACACATACACAACAAATCAAATTTTGACAAAGATATCAAGTCAGTTCAATGGGGAAAGCAAAGTTTTTTGGGGATGATGCTGGGACAACTGGGGGAAAGAACCCTGATTCTATCTCACTTCTTCACAAAAACAAAATTAAGATGGATCATAGAAATAAATGTAAAGTCCAAAACATAGAGCGTCTACAAGAAAACCTAGAATATCTTTGCCATGGTGGTGGGCAAAGATTTCTTGAAATGGATACAAATACAAGCCACTTTTTAAAATTGTCAAATTAGCAGAGGCAGGTGCTCTTTTTAGTGTTTGTTGTTGTCATAGCATTAGTCCCATGAATTTTAAGGTAGTTTACTGAGTTTAAACAGATTTTGCCTTTTGTAAAATGAAAACAATAGCCAAATTTGGCTTCCTAAAAATGTAAAACTTCTGCTCATCAAAGACAGTATTTAGAAAATGAATAGACAGGCTATAGGTTGGGAGGGGGGAAACATGCACTATGCCTATATCTGAAGAAGGATTCATACCTTGACTATGTAAAGAACTCCTATAAGTCAACAATAAGTATAACCCAATAACGGGCAAAGTACTAAACAAACACCTCATGAAAGAAGATATGCAAATATCTGGTAAGCCCATTAAAAGTATTTGGCACGGGATCCCTGGGTGGCGCAGCGGTTTGGCGCCTGCCTTTGGCCCAGGGCGCGATCCTGGAGACCCGGGATCGAATCCCACATCGGGCTCCCGGTGCATGGAGCCTGCTT